GTTTAGAGAGTATAACTCAGGGTTTAGAGAGTATAACTCACAGGGTTTAGAGAGTATAACTCACAGGGTTTAGAGAGCATAACTCACAGGGCTTAGAGAGTATAACTCACAGGGTTTAGAGAGTATAACTCACAGGGTTTAGAGAGCATAACTCACAGGGTTTAGAGAGCATAACTCACAGGGTTTAGAGAGTATAACTCACAGGGTTTAGAGAGCATAACTCACAGGGTTTAGAGAGTATAACTCACAGGGTTTAGAGAGTATAACTCACAGGGTTTAGAGAGTATAACTCACAGGGTTTAGAGAGCATAACTCACAGGGTTTAGAGAGTATAACTCACAGGGTTTAGAGAGCATAACTCAGGGTTTAGAGAGCATAACTCACAGGGTTTAGAGAGTATAACTCAGGGTTTAGAGAGCATAACTCACAGGGTTTAGAGAGTATAACTCACAGGGTTTAGAGAGTATAACTTACAGGGTTTAGAGAGTATAACTCACAGGGTTTAGAGAGCATAACTCAGGGTTTAGAGAGTATAACTCACAGGGTTTAGAGAGTATAACTCAGGGTTTAGAGAGTATAACTCACAGGGTTTAGAGAGTATAACTCAGGGTTTAGAGAGCATAACTCACAGGGTTTAGAGAGTATAACTCAGGGTTTAGAGAGCATAACTCACAGGGTTTAGAGAGTATAACTTACAGGGTTTAGAGAGTATAACTCACAGGGTTTAGAGAGTATAACTCACAGGGTTTAGAGAGTATAACTCACAGGGTTTAGAGAGCATAACTCACAGGGTTTAGAGAGTATAACTCAGGGTTTAGAGAGCATAACTCACAGGGTTTAGAGAGTATAACTTACAGGGTTTAGAGAGCATAACTCACAGGGTTTAGAGAGTATAACTTACAGGGTTTAGAGAGTATAACTCACAGGGTTTAGAGAGCATAACTCACAGGGTTTAGAGAGTATAACTCAGGGTTTAGAGAGTATAACTCACAGGGTTTAGAGAGTATAACTTACAGGGTTTAGAGAGTATAACTTACAGGGTTTAGAGAGTATAACTCACAGGGTTTAGAGAGTATAACTCACAGGGTTTAGAGAGTATAACTTACAGGGTTTAGAGAGTATAACTCACAGGGTTTAGAGAGTATAACTCACAGGGTTTAGAGAGTATAACTCAGGGTTTAGAGAGCATAACTCACAGGGTTTAGAGAGTATAACTTACAGGGTTTAGAGAGTATAACTTACAGGGTTTAGAGAGCATAACTCACAGGGTTTAGAGAGTATAACTCAGGGTTTAGAGAGTATAACTCACAGGGTTTAGAGAGTATAACTTACAGGGTTTAGAGAGTATAACTTACAGGGTTTAGAGAGTATAACTCACAGGGTTTAGAGAGCATAACTCACAGGGTTTAGAGAGTATAACTCAGGGTTTAGAGAGCATAACTCACAGGGTTTAGAGAGTATAACTCACAGGGTTTAGAGAGCATAACTCACAGGGTTTAGAGAGTATAACTCAGGGTTTAGAGAGTATAACTCACAGGGTTTAGAGAGTATAACTCACAGGGTTTAGAGAGTATAACTCAGGGTTTAGAGAGCATAACTCACAGGGTTTAGAGAGTATAACTCAGGGTTTAGAGAGTATCACTCACAGGGTTTAGAGAGTATAACTTACAGGGTTTAGAGAGTATAACTCACAGGGTTTAGAGAGTATAACTCACAGGGTTTAGAGAGCATAACTCACAGGGCTTAGAGAGTATAATTCACAGGGCTTAGAGAGTATAACTTACAGGGTTTAGAGAGTATAACTCACAGGGTTTAGAGAGTATAACTCACAGGGTTTAGAGAGTATAACTCACAGGGTTTAGAGAGTATAACTCACAGGGTTTAGAGAGTATAACTCACAGGGTTTAGAGAGTATAACTTACAGGGCTTAGAGAGTATAACTTACAGGGCTTAGAGAGTATAACTCACAGGGTTTAGACAGTATAACTCACAGGGTTTAGAGAGTATAACTCACAGGGTTTAGAGAGTATAACTTACAGGGCTTAGAGAGTATAACTCACAGGGTTTAGAGAGTATAACTCACAGGGCTTAGAGAGTATAACTCACAGGTAAAGTAAATGAAAAAAAGATATTATTTTGACTTACTGCTCAAATCATTTTTACAGTGAGGAAGTGACAGTACAATCAACCAGAATTTTTGATTTTCAATGTGTAGGACCAATTTCATAAAAAAAAACAGTATTCAAGGCCAGTGGTCACCAACCCTCCTCTTTGAGATGTACTTCCCTGCAGGGATTAGTTCCACTTTGCGTCTCACTAATACTAATACATCTAAACAAAACAATGGTAACAATAATACTGCCTTTTAATGTAAAGAACCATTAAACTTTAAAATATATATTTGAAGATAATCATTTTTGATGATGTTTGTGAACATTGGGAGCATATGATTAAAACAAAAACTAGCTCAGCAAACTAAAAACAGCCACCACTTTGAATTGAATTTAGAAGACAACCGAAACCAAAGCAACAGAGAAGTTTACAGAAAAGACAGCAAAATGATGGTGAACGTATGAAGCTAAAGTTGGCTTCTTATTCGAGTTTTCCGTTCCAGGTGGAAAACAAATCTGAATGTGAATCTGGCAAATAAAAAGTTAACTTTAGTCTTGTGATGAATGCTGCACTTGCTTAAACTGCAGAAGCTGTTAAAATCAGTCAAATACAGAGAACTGTATTTCTTTTGTTTTGTTACCATGAAGAAAGAAGGAAATGCTCATTTCCTCTGGAAAGTTTCCCCAGTAAGAGTTCAAGTGCTAAATTAGGACTTACTGATGCTATTAATTCTTTGCTTGTTTCTAGCATTTGGAGGCGAATACGAACTCTAACACTTCACTTGTCTTCCGAAATAAAATAAGCCAAACATAAGTACAATAACAGACATTTGACAATGTTGCTGTACATCAAATTTACAGGAGGAAACAAATCTATGAAAAGTAAGCGACTGTGTAGAGTCAGTCACATGCCTCCCCATGTTTCTCTTTGGGTGTCGAGTCATGAGGCTCAAGTCTGAGTCATTGTTGTTCAAATCAAAGTAGTGTCACAAGCTTGTGACTTGATTTGGACTCAAGTCCTAGTCAAATGACTCGAGTCCACACCTCTGAAAAATACTGAACTATTAGAGCTCGAGTGTGCTATGCGGTGGAAGCTGTTTGTGTCACCTGTATCGGGGAAGTACCTTTGTAAAACATGCTGATTAAAAGACATTAAGTGAAGATTAATGTCTTATTTTTTTGATGTAACCCCAGAGTCATTCAGCGTACCCTTAGGGATATGTGCACCACAGTTTGGGAACCGCTGGACTAGAGCATCTGCATGCCTCAAATTTGAATCAAATTTGGTTCTAATGGAAGAGACTCCATTTTGATTTCATCTGCTCAAGTGAGGGTTACGAATTATGTGTCATAGATATCATGACACATAATTCTTAACCATGTGAAATATTTATAGATCTCCAGAACCTCAAAGAAGACTACAGTGAAAAATTCTGAGGCAAGATTTTAACACTGTGGCATAAAGTCTGAAATAATTTGTACAGTTTTTTGTCCAGTCTGACCCTGTGTCCTGTCCTGGCCCTTCCTCACCTTGTTTCTTCCTCCTTATCATCTCTGTTAACTGTTTAGTGTGTGGTATGTCTGTTTAGTATCTCAACCTTTATCTCATTATTTGTCTGTGTATTTATAGTCCTCGTCTTGGTTTGTTGCACTGAAGACATCATGGTCAAAAAAGCTGCTTCCTGCCACGTTCACTCCAAAGCAGACCCTTAAAAGGCTCCTAGTTTGCCAACAAACTCTCTAGGGCAGAGGCTGACGATGGGCTCCCCAAAGCAGAAGCCACCTATGAGCATCCCAAGGCAGCGGCCTCCGAGTCTCCAGTGCTGGTGACTTCTGTCATAGTCATGCTGATTGCCCAGCATACCAGCATCCAAACTACAACATATCGCTGTTCTTGGAAGAAAACCTTGTATCTCCAAAATAGTAACTTTACAGGAGAAGGAAAAAACCTACTTTTCTTTTAATGTAAGTCAATGGAACCAGACTTTTTTCCAAGTCATTTTGCATTGTTTCTTTTGGTCCATTCTTCATGAAATTTACACACAATGTAAAGGATAACATGCATTTTCAAAATATGTCAAAAACTGAAAAACAAGGTTTTCTTCCCACAGCAGCGATATGCTAGTTTTGCTGGTGACCAGCATACCAGCATCCAAACACAACATATACTGGTTTTGCTGGTGACCAGGCCCTGCTGATCTTTGCTGGTTTTTCTAGCAGAGACAAAAGACTGACCATGCAGCTCAAATACTGTTCTGCAAATTGGCAAACACAAGTCAACATATCATGTGTCAGCATAGTGTTGAGATGTAAACAGATATAACATTCGGAGTGGTTTGATAGAAAATGGTTCATTTGTAGGGACTCAGATTTCTTTACAGTGGTGCTGATAGGAACCAGCAGTCCTGATGTCTACAACACAAATATGTGCCATCCGTGTTTCTATAGGTAACATTGATCATGGTAACATAGTCACAAATCTGAATAAAATAGGTTGTCTTTGAGGCTGTGTTGCCTTACAACACCCTGCTTGTGCCCTTCCACCATGGAAGATTTTAGAAGTTAGGGTTTAGGATTTTTACATTAGATCTGTGATGTAGCTTTTAGAGGTGGAGGTCTGGTTCCTATCACCTCCAGCGTAAACAATTCTGACTCTCCAAGTTTCTGTAGAACGGTGCATTCCACACGAAACCACTCTGAATTGCTTTGTTTACATCTCAACCATTTCATTTTGCTGAATTTATGAAAACAAAATCGGAGCAGTTCCAGTTTCATGCTGTAGTATTTTGGCTGAAATGGCTTGACTATTTTCGAGACCTCTTTAAAGCATTTTGGCAGGTTATGGAACAATCTGGCAACCCTGCTTTTAACCTCCACGGGTGAGGGGGCGCTAGCGTCCAGCTCGGCGGTGAAAGGAGCGTGGTTCTTGTTGTTTTCTCCCCCTATCGTTCACTGAGGTAAAAAAAACTATAATAAATACGAGGTTTGGTCTGGTATTTGTGTGTGTGGCCGGTGTTTATCTCAGTCTCTCGGGGACATGGCTAACGGCCGCTCTCCGGCTACATTAGCGACGTTAGCGACTCTGCTGCTGTGAAGGTGCTCTGTGTGTGGTAGAGGAGTGAGGAGTGAGGGGTGAAGCTCTGCTGCTGCGGTGTGGACACAGACACAGACAACACGGCGGCTTTCCTCAACCGTTAAGGCCCCGGCTTCACTGAGAGAGAGAGAGAGAGAGATGGAGCGGAGCTGATGGTGTCCGAGACCGCGGCCCGAACAGCCTCAACACACTGACCGCCATGGACATACATCCACTGTAAGAGCACCAACACTGACACACACACTCACCGTCTGTCTGTCTGACTGTCTGCTGTGTGTGTGACTGAGTGTGTGTATTTAGCTCCGTGTGGAGACCACATGTACCCAGATTGGTACATAAACATGAGAACGTACAACCTTGTGGGGACATGCAGCTTTTCAGGGACAGATGCTTTGGGAGCTCCTATCTGAAAATGTGAAGAAGCCCAAAGGTCTCCTTAGTTCTTGATGTTAAAGACGCAGGGAGCCTAAATCTGTGTTTTCTTTCTAATTAGGTTAATCTGGTTCTTGCAGGCAAACAGCGAACATGTGCTAAGTGTACCTTTTAATAATGTTCCAGTGACCAACTAATGACCACATATTTCACCATGTTTTCTCCTCTCCATGTAAACTGGGTGGTCCTAATCTTGGGTAAGGCTTCCATAAGCGTTCCCCTGACCAATCACAAGGCTGATTTCTCTTGCCCCGCCCACACAAAAACAGTTTGGGGGCTGTGCTCAGATTAGTATACTGTATACTGCATACTGCATCAGTATATACTGTATACTGCATGCTGTTCCTTATCAGTAGTATACAGTACAGTATCCAGTATATGACACAAGCCGTGTGCCGAACCGCAGGACTGGGATGCGACTAGCCTGAAAACAACTGGGACTGAGTCAACTGGGCCTGCCCCACTTTCCTCAGCCCTCCAATCACTGCTTAGCAACCACTGCTGGCCGCTTTTCATCGTTTACCTTTATGTTTCGGTCAAGAAATGAGCCTGTGTGACTTTTAAATCATTTATAATTAAATAAGTTGGCAATCTGAGCTAGTCTGACTGAATATACGCAGTGTGACTCCACACAGGAGCCTGAAAAGCCGACGCTGAGCGAATCGTTCGGCTGAGTTACTGTTTTATCCACATTATGCCAAAAGTTAAAATAGACAAAGTAAGCAAACCCACCTCACGACCAGCAGAGAGAGCTGATGTGGCTTCAGTAGTGAAGCAGCTTTTGGTCATATTTCTTTTATTTTGCCCTTTTTATTATAGATATAGAAGAGAGTCTAATTCTAAAGCTAATTCTAGAGCTATTAAAATATCCAGACGGTTACATCGGTGGTTACGTCCTGCCGGAATGGCCGCGTTGCATTTTGGGCTGCAGTGTATCATAGAGACAGCTGTGGCAGTGGACTGGAAAAATTGCCGGAGCAGTACATCTTCCGGGTATCTTTGGCGTACTGGAGAAATCCATGTTGGTCACATACTGCTTACTACTTAGTCCTTTTTTTGGGCACAGTCAGGACATGAGCAGTATGTAGTAGACTATTCAAACACTGCCAGAGTCAGAGAAACCTGGCAAGCTAAAGCTGAACCAACATAACCAAAAGCTGGCAAGCTAGTCCACCTGTCTGTACCATTAAAAAGATGGTGCGTCAAGAGTTTGTTAGTAAAGAAAGCTGTTCTCTATAGAACCATGAACACTCAGAACCATTTGCATGCTTAAATAGTTATTTGCTTGGTGAAATGGTTCTTCAGACTGTTGTTCTATATAGCACCAAAAAGGGTTCTTCCGTTGTTATAAGCCTGACACTGATTTTTCAATGTAAGAACCCTTTTTGGTGCTATATAGGATACAAAGATTCTATATAGAATCATGTACGACACATTTTACATTCATCTGAAGAGCCATTTCACCTTACAAAGAACCCTTTAAGCAATCAGTTTGTTCATTGAGTGTTGATGGTTCTGCCTAGAAGTGATGTCTTTACTGAAGAACCATCTTTTTTGAGAGTCTAGCCACCTGTCGCCTGTTCATTTGTTTATCAATACATGAACATTGTTCGTTTGCCCATTCCTTCATTCGCACGTTGCTTCATCCATCCGTCTGCACGTCTGTTTGTCCATGACTTTTTTGTCCAGTTACCATCACATAAAAGCTGATAATGATTTTAGTTCTGTATGAGTGGTGGAGCAGGCTTGGAGTGTTGGACAGAGAGCTGTCAACCAAGCTGTTTCTTAGCCACGCCCACACAGTTCTCAGATAGTGGTTTTAAGCCTATATTTTTCTTTCAAGATTTGTTGGATTTTTAATGTAACACAAATTTAATATCATACAAACATTTTAATGTTTTACTCTGTGTTCCCTTTAAGGTGAGGGTTGGGTTGGGCTGAAAGATTAATCATTTTCATGTCGAAATCACAATTTAGAAGTGTGCGTTTTTTTAATCGCAAGAGCTGCAGTTCCTATTATAGAACACATCGTCAGCAGTGCTGTCTTAAATTTTAAATGAGGAATTTTGCAATAACATAACTGCCTTCAGATGAGTTAGACCAGTCAGAAGCAACCCAAGTGCTGTGGATGTGATATCACAATCACAACTAAATGGCGCACTAAATAGCCTGGCACTCCCATCGTTTATACCTCAAGCCAAAAGAGTGCATTATCTGGTGTTTTGTGGCCAGAAGTACAGGTCTGGAAGTTATTTCAGAGAATATTAGTGCATTTTAATTGCATTCATAATATTGGTCAGAAAAATCGCAATTCAGTTTTTTCCCCCAAATCGTTGAGCCCTAGGGCTGGGTGAGGTATAGCTACAGCAATACAGAAGTCAATGGACACCTCAAAAAAGAGAGCATATCTTGTGTGTTTCTAGCTGGTTTTTCCATCCTGACAGCAGTATGGAGAGGAATTCAGGCCAAATTGAATAGCAATTACTACAGTGAAAAAACATGAAATGTAAAGCACACATGACATTACTTTTGCTTGAGGACATGCAGAGTATGGGGCCAAAATTAAACACCAACCAAAGACTCTGAAGTAATGTCAGAATTGTATACAATCCACCTTGAAATGTAATAAAGGCACGGCTGTTTTGCTTTCCACCATGCAGTTCTTTAAATAATGATAAATCGATGTCACAGAACCTTTACTTTTCATTTTGGCAAGTTTTCTGCATGTTACTGTTTAAATGCAATCTGCTTTGCGTTTCACTGTTTTGGTTGCATTTCAGTAGCCACGTTTACATGCATCCTAATAATCCGTTTATAGTCCGACTAACAGATCAGTCAAAACAGGATACGTCCATAGCGAAAGTTTATAATGTTCAACACGGCGGGAGCAGAAACTGTTCTGCAGAGGAGACAAAGTTTATGCTTCGAACTTTAAAAGACGGCGGTGGGACGGATGTCCAGCTTATGTCTCAGAACACGACGTCTTCCTCTCACCCTTCTTTAATAAGGACATGTGAGGTACATTTTACTGAGTCTGACATCATTTTAAAGTAATTAAAAACACAAGCACTGCTCACTGCTGCTCGTCTCACTCTGACTGGACTCACGTGATGCTCGCTGTCATGGTAACGTCTACGTTGAGTGGTACTTTACGCATTCACGTAATTTTGGATCAGATTACTTGTAGTGTGCATGTAAATTTTCATCAGAATGTTGAGCAGAGTGAGCAGATAAACACCTCAGTCTTAATCTATAATTGTAATGTATTCAGTCGGATTGGCAAAAATCTTTGCATGTAAACACAGCCAGCACTTAAAGGAGAAAACAGGTGAAAACATTGTAGTAGAGGTTTTGCTTTTCATTTTGATTATTGTGTTTATTCCTCATGTCATCTGTGGAAAATGTCATGTGTGCATTGCTGTTTGCACTGTTATGACTGCATTTTAGTGAGGAAAATCTGTTTAAAGTCCTGTACAGTGGAAAACAGTATAGCCGTACCTTCATTACATGTCGAAGTGGACTGTGTGAAATGCTGACGTGAATTTATCATTTCCTTTTTAAAATGCAAATCTTTATGCATTATATTTTCAGTAAAAGAGATCAAGCCTCATGAAAACAATGTTATAAAGGTTTTGTTTTTCAATTTGGCACAAATTCCTCTCCATAGAGCAGATCTTTTACATTCAAGGCAGCAGGTCTCCATGCCGTAGTTTGAACACAGTGTCTTTCAGGCTGATGCTCAGTGCCCAGTCCTGGTCATAGCTGATCTGCCACCTTGGAGAGTTCAGATCCAGCACGTCTGGCTCTAACGTTCAGACGCCCCTGTTAGATTTAACAGGAGCTAAACTCTGCAGGGTAGTAGATCTCCAGGACCAGGATTGGGCACCCAGGTTTAAAATAACCCCAACTGCAAAAATATATCCGCATCACATCCTTTTCTATGTCACTGGAGTTTGCTGTGGCTTACATTTCACAGGGACTGCACAGAGTGCCACTGTGGAATTGAGGGGCGTGAGCTTGATTGGTTGTGTTCATTACAAAAGGTGAAAAAAGTGCTCTAACCACTGCAGTCAACCCTGCATTTTGGGAGTCTGGAGTTATTTGAGTTAGTAAGTGTTTCCTAACTCTGTTCCCTGGAGATCTACCTGCATTGCACCGTTCGTGCTTTCCCAAAATCCCAGCGTTCCATCTATTGTAGACCTGAATCAGCCAGACTGATTTTTACCCATAGTCTTCTCTCATCCGTATTTAAAATAGGATGGCAGATGGGAGAAATGTTCTGGGCTGTATCACACGAGCATGACGAGGCAATAAACGAGTCAGGAGGTCTTATCCTGAGTCTGAGTAACAGGACTACATTTGAGAAAATTAGGTAGGAGTAGTGGGCTGTGTACTCAATATGATACAGCAGGGTAATTAGGTTTGTAAAGTGATGGTCCCTTATGTGTTTATTTAATGTCTTCTTAGAAATCAAACAAAAACAGCATATTTTGACCCCTGGCTTCGTGTTTGTTGTATATTTTGACCCCTCGTCAAATTGTAAACAGCCAACAAGAACTTGATGCCCTAGTTAACACTGTCTCTAGCTAGTGGTAACACTGACTTTACAGTGTGAAACGCCCCCATCATGACACAAGTTTAAACTAGCTTGAGTTTTTCACTGTTTAAAATGATCAGTGTTCCTTTTTTCATTTCACGTAGGCTCATGTATTTCTCTATATATCATTCTGTATATCATCTCCTCTCCCTGAAAGTGTGAGCCTTCTCACTTTTTATCTAGTGACTCTATAAATGAGTCATATATTCATAGCCATTGCTTTTGTCACTTGTGTTTGTTTTGGTGTTGTAAAGCCATGTGTTGTCTCCACATATGTGGTACTATACAAACTGCTACAAATTGTCGCAAAATACTGCTTGAAAGTTGAGCAGTCTGTATGTTTACATGTCCAAATCTGTGTTGAATAATATGGCCCATATTTTAATTGGGCTAAACTTAGGATGACTAAGATCTTAGACTATAACAATCATTGTTTACATGATCAAGTCACACTAAGACTAGCAGTCAGAGTTAAACCAATATTAAACTATTGGTGTGTATGTAAATGTAGTTAGTGAAAAACATTTTGCTTTCATATCATGATCACAACTGGCGATCTGTCCAGGGTGTATCCTGCCTTCCGCCCAATGACAGCTGGGATAGGCTCCAGCACCCCACCGTGACCCAGAAGGATAAGCGGTTTAGATGATGGATGGATGGATTATGATCACATTAAACTGGACTTCTCTGAGGTGCCTGTTTTAGTGAGTCTAGAAGAGGGGTTTGGCCACATGTGGCTCTTTTACTGCCCTGTTGTGGCTCCACAGCAGAATCAGATTTTTAGGGAAAAATAAAATAAACCTCAACTGCAGTAAAATAAAGCTCTGCTGATCGTTCAAACACACTATTCTAACACAGTGTTAGCAATAAATGGTCTTAGATGCTCAAGTTAAAGTAGCCTATAACTTCCAATTTACCCTTTAACCCTGAAGGTTGGTGCGCAGACTGCTGGTCACCATAGCAACGCAGACAGCAGTCTTGCCTAGGTAGTAGCTAACGAAAAGACAAAGAGAGACTTATTTGCATTTGTAATCACTCCAGCTGGTTTCCTCATACATTTAATCTGCAACAAGAAACTGGCAAACACTAAAATGTTGCAAAGCTGAGGTCAGCTTCTTGTTCAAATTTTCCCGTTCCACCTTAAATGGTGCAGCGGTTACGTTCTGGCGCCTCAGGCACCATTTAAGGTGGAACGGGAAATTGAAGCTGGCGAATGACAAGCTGACTTTGGCCTCGTAAAAAAATCAGCATTGAGTGACATTTTCAGAGTGTCGGAGATGCGAGAAAAGTGGCTGTAGCTGAGCTAAAGCTTGAAGCAGAGCAAAGTAAGTCTGTGTTTTCATTTCTATTTTTGGCCTATGCTAGTAGCACATACTGAGACATATTTACAGCCAAGATGGTAAAATGCACATAAAATGTTGTGCCTCCCAAGGTGGTTTGATTTTTGTCGAAAGGACAAAATGGCTCTTCTTACCATTTGGGTTGCTGACCTCTGGTCTAAAATCTTGGACAATTATAGTCTCCACTGTAGCTCTAATGTGTGTAGCTGTAGCTCACACCTTCATTGTAATGTTTCTATGTAAAAATGAATTATGTATATTTAAGGCACACTTATCTCAGGATACTTTTTCTTTCTGAACGGGCTCAAATAATAAAACAACTATTTTTTTCTTGCTTTTATAATTTAAGTGGTTGATGTGCTACGTCACCATTGAAGTTTTAAAACGTACGTTCATTATGTAGTCCATACAGTCCATATTTGCAAACTGAGCTACAAATAGCCTATTTTGAATATGATGTTACCAGAAACAACTCATTGACACATATTTGCCTATTAAGCCTACAGAAGTTTAGCCCTGCCCCATTCATGCTGAGGTTAAAGTTATAAAGTGTGTTTCATTTCAGACTGCTTGAATGTGGTACAATACAGGGCAACCAATTAGAACACAGCTCATTGACACATCTGTCTTTAAGGAGAAGTAAGAAAAACAACCTGTTTAATTCGTTTAAAAATATAGATGTGCGTCTCATAATTCTCTTTGCATGTGTGCTGTGTTTTCCAGATGCACTAAACTTTGCCATCATAAAGCTGTGGAGCTGAAGGATGATGTGTGCGAGAAGCAGAGTGCGGTCACCATCAACCCACGGCACATGAGGAAAGCCTTCAGGATTATGAACGAGCTGCGCAGGTGTGTGTGCATTTCGGTGTTCGTCTGAGGCACTCAGTAGCGGCATGTTTGTGTTTGTTATACAGAGGAGCAAAACAATGAAAAATACAATATCAGAGAGTTTAAGACTCTTTGTTTGCAGAGCAACGTTCTGCCCCTGTTCCTTTTTGTTGGTGCAGAAAATGATACTGTGTTTTATTTGCTGTGTTAGAGGAGCTCCAACACTAACATTTATTGTGTGTGTGGGATTTTTGTATCTGCAAAAAAACAGAACTGTTTGTATTTAACCATTTTTGAGAAGACCTGTTATAATCTTTAGAGGTTTTTCTTTGTTTTTGCCAGTCAAAGTGTCTTGTGTGATGTGACCATCGTTGCGGAGGATGTGGAGATTGCAGCACATAGAGTGGTTTTGGCTGCTGGAAGCCCGTATTTCCATGCCATGTTTACAGGTAAGGACACATACAGTCTCGCACAAATGTACATATGGTTGTATGCAAAAGTTTGGGCACCGCTGGCCAAATGACAATTTGTTGTTTTTTGAAGTGGAAAGAAGTAAACATAACGTAAAGTGAACAGTATATATTACTGCACAGTTACTTTGTATTTGATTCACTTAAAGCTGCACTATGTAAGATTTTTTTTTTTGGTTACAATTTAAAGACATTGCATTACTGAGTTAGACGGAAAAAACACAAAATAATTCCAGCTCAATGTTTAGTTCTCAGATGCAGAATCAACCATATAATGCTAAAAATAATGATAATAGAAAATAATTTGCTTATCTTTGAAAGGCACATCCTTCACCGTGTTTTCACTGAGTTCTCTTTGAAATACTCTTTCAAGGTGCTCGCAAAAATCAGATTCATCCACTCAGGGAAGGTGTCCAAAGCAAAAGCAACATTACAAAATGTTCTTCCCCATGTTGCGTGCTATTACAGGTTGCAGATGGAGTTTCTTTCTGATGACTCTTCCTTGCTCATCACTTCTGTGTCAGCTAAAACGTTCCTTCCGGTTCTTTGCTGTCATATGGGGGTTTTGCTTTGCATTTCTGTCTCTAAGTTGTTCCATCTGAGAGTTTTTTTCTTTTCTTTCTTCCAGATCTTGCCATGACTTCCACAGTTCCCCTTAACTGCCATTCCTTTATGACATTTGTAACTGTGGAACATGCGAGCTGGATGCTCTTTGATATCTTTTTCTTGCTTTCACCTGCTTTGTTGGTTTCAGTTAGCTTTATTTTCAGATTTTCATCCAGCTGTTTAGAGGAATCCATGGTTGTTAAGTGCTAGCATGGTTTGAAGGTTTTAAGAATCAGAGAAGTTATCACGCTCTGGAATGGTCATCAGCTGACAGTTCCTAATGACAATTCCTGACCTGCCTAACCAGTCCTAATGAGTCAATTAACTGTGCATTAAAATGGACTAATAAATAATTAGAAAAAATGTTTTCCTGCGGAGGTTGTTTGTGTCTTTTCACTTCAAAAATATGTCATTTGGCCAGGCATCGAACTTTATGTATACAGAACACATATATCAACTAGAACTGTCACAGTTACTCACTTCAAATCAATTATTTGATTTAAAAAAATAATTAATGTAAAATTTACATTCTCCATGAATCGCCTTATCTAATCTGTAGTGACAGCTCTATTATCTACTGTGCTGAAAGGTAGGGGACAAAAAATGATGGGGGGCTGACTTTCTGCACGTGTGAATGTCATGTGCAGCTGTTCTTGCATGTATTCTGTGTACAGAGATCATCTGTTGTGGGTGTGTATCCGTTTAATATTTATGAGCATGTGGCATGTACGGGGACGATGTGTAAGCAGGATGGTAATTTGTGGGTGTGGGTGTGTATCACAGTGCTGATGACACTATGTGCCTGTGGGTGTGTGTATAGGTGAGATGAGTGAGAGCAGACAGAAGAAGGTCCGGATAAAGGAGATAGATGGCTGGACGCTGGGGATGCTGATTGACTACGTTTACACTGCCGAGATACAGGTCACTGAAGAGAATGTACAGGTAATATAAACATGTATACTCTTCTCTGTCTTCCCTTCTCTTTCTCTGCTTTTGACTTATCTCTCTCATATGCAGTCTCCCAAGTAGGGGTGGGAAATATACCGTTACTTTATCATTATCATGATAAATAATGTCACAGTATGCTTTCCTGAGCATTTCGTAGATGTCATTAATGAAACACTGAATACAAATCGTTGTGCTCATTTTCTTTTAAGTATTTGTTTTTGTGGAAGTTTTTCTGAACCAAGCTAGCATCCCTATTGGAGCGCTTGTGTTTTGTGGAGGATGCATGCCAAAAACCAAATGAATAAAACCCTGCTTAATAGAACACCACAACAAATTCTCTCTCTGTTTTCTGAGAAGTAGAATTGAGGGAAAAGCTCTTCTTTCGCTTATTTTTCCTAGTTCATCTCTATTTTTCTTCTGTTCTTTGTTCTACATCTTGTGCTTTTGGCTCAAGGCTGCAATAACAGCCCTTAATGAAATCTTCAGGAAATGTGAGCGGTTGTGTGGGTGGTGTGTGTCTGTGTGTGAGTGGGTGGGTGGGTTTTTTTGTGTGTGTGTGTGTGTGTGTGTGTGTGTGCCCGCACACACGTGTGCATTCGTCTTCAGGCCTGAGACTCTTACAGTCTTACTGTGTTTTACTGTTTGGCACACAGTTGACACTCCTAAGCTAAAGCTTATTTCAGCAAACTGAAATCGTTCAGCATGTTTGTGAGGGAATTTAATACGCTTATGGAAAACAAAAGCTTCTTACTCTGTGGCTTTTACTTCTTCATCACCTCCATAGCATCTGTTTGTAGGGGTATTCCTGTCCCTCCTCCAGTGCAAAGCCTCTCTGTTGCTGTGAGTTAATACACATACAGTGCATATGTAAAGTTTGGGGTTTATGCAGCCTGTCAACCTTTGATGTCAAAGGTTTCAAAGCCCGGGTCTCGAAAGTGTGGTCAGATCAGAGCAGTTGCTAGAGTTCACGCTCAGACATTTTGAGTGATTTGAAATGAGCGTCGTTTCTTATGTTGGTGTTTTGTGTTTAATACCAGTTCAGCCTGTATTGATGTAATTGAAGAGAGCAGCCAGTCTCTGTAATGACTAGCATGTGAGCATGAAGCCATTAAATCCTCAGTAGTGGACCCTAATTGCTTCAGTGGGATTGCCACTGACGCCTACAAACCTGCTGGACGTCCGTATCAAGTGATCTCCAACTCTTTTATTTTATTGTTTATTAACATGAAATACATTCACAGGGCCAATGCTATCCTTTTGAGGTAGTGAAATTAAAAGTTTGAAAAGTTGATATGACTGATATAAACATTCATGTTTATTCCCTGTGTGTGTGTGTGTGTGTGTGTGTGTATGTAGGTGCTCTTGCCTGCTGCTGGTCTCCTCCAGCTGCAGGAAGTGAAGCGAGCGTGCTGTGAATTTCTGTCCACTCAGCTTCACCCCACCAACTGCCTCGGCATCCGCGCCTTCGCTGACCTGCACGCCTGCTGCGACCTTCTCAACCTGGCCAACACTTACGCAGGTGTGTGTGCGCGTGTGCATGTGTCCTTGTAAGGGATCCCAGATTTCAGGTGTTCATCAAGCATCCAATATCAGGTCGCCTATTCTGTCTTTTCTGGTTTGGTTTTTAAATATTTTTTTTATTTTATTTTTGATATGAAAGTGAGCTTGATACATTCTTGAGAGCTCAAGAACCAGGAGATCAACTCTGTACTCCACCAGAGGGCAGGGAAGAGCCTGCATCCTACATTTTGGTCAGAGTTTCGTATTCGATTAGTCCAAAGAAGGAAGCATAGAAAGACTACTGCAGCTGGCTGAATTTTACCCCACGCTAGTAGAGGGAGGGTCTCTGGCACCAGATAGCAGATAGTAGAAAGCGCAACTGTAGCACATAGAAAGAGTTCATCAGTACATCAAGCTCAACACTCCACTCACATAGATTTAATGGAATAAAACTTTTAACATCATGTAGTAAATTTATCATGTTTGGTATCGGCCAACTAACTCTTCACAGACTAAAAAGTCTGAGGTGAGATATGATGTGGCTAGACTAATAAAGTTAGCTGAGGTGAAAACAGACAATTCATTACATATTTTTCAAATGATACCTTAAAATTCAAATATCAAATATACTGAAATGCCCACCCTGAGTTTTCATCAGTATGATAATTGTCTTAAGTGTTTACATTTTTCCTCATATTTTCTATAATCAAATTTAAACTTAATGTTGTTCCATCGTTATGGACAAATAAAAATATAAGCTACCTGTCATTTATTCACTTTCTTCTGTAGGCTAACCAATACATAAAATGAATGAAAATGCATATTTACTTGCTTTTTGAAAGTAGCCATAATTGAGAAATGATGAGTTCACCTATGCTTTTTCCCAGAAACGTGCCATAACATAGCTCAACTTTGTCTATTTGCCCAGGTACAGACTGTCTCAGTCTGCATACTATTGCATTATTGCACATTATTATAATCTGCATATTATTATCTTCTTTTATTTTCAAAATAGTACAGCTGACGTCAGTAATTAGAATACTTGTGTATTTGTACATTACATTGGTATTTGATTTTCAATTTAGTATTCGGAAGCTTTGTCTTTTTTCATGCTTTTAGCTGTTTAAGCTAAAAGAGCGCTGATCCCTAAGAAATCATGGGAGAACCTTAAATTCAGGGCTGCAAAACCGTAGCCCTTCTGTTGGTTGGGACCAGAAGAGACTTGCGCATTGATGAGCCTTGGGTACCCAGTCACCGGTTTGTGGTTTGTCCTTCCCCTGACCACTGTCGATAGGTACTCGCCATTGATGACCGGGAGCACCCAACAAGCCTTACTGTTTAAAGGTGTGGCCCACGTCAGAGTTGCTCAGGTCTTCACGTCGACCCATTTGTCCTGCATCCAACATGTCAACTGCAAGATCTGACTGTTTGCTTACCGTGTAAAATATCTCAGGCCTCAACATGCACCATTGACGTTCATCTGTGAGTGGTCCCAATGTTTTGGCTCATTGGTGTGTACAGCATCGCAAAACCTAGTGGAGGCACAGAGAGAGAGGTAATGATGGCCAGAACGGCACTCTGTCTACGTCAACAAATGGAATGCATTTAGAATTATAGTGTGTTGACATTCGGTCAACAGTACCAACCAGACACCAGACAACAATTTATTACTGAACAAGGCACCACAGGCAGCAATGATGGTCCCATACCAAATTTGGCATCTGAAGTTTGCTTCTTTAGTTTTGAACAGATGATGCTGGGCTAACGTTGCTAACAAACACTCACTAATCTCATCTCTGTTCATTTGTTTTGCACAGACAAGTTGATGTGGTTTAGAACACAGTATGACTTACTTTAGTCTACAAAAACAACCTCTCATAGGTGAATGGTGGGGCAGCCATTATGAGTAAATGGAGCTACTTTGACCTCAGCACAATATGTGGGATGATTCTGCACAAGATGACCTAAACACACAGATGCATCGTAAGGTATCTTGGCTGAAGCTAAGCTATTATACTCAGAAAATCGAAACAACGTCCAATTACGATTTTGATGACCAGATTTTCAGCACCAGTGACCCTCTACTGTGCATGTTTAAGTTCATGAGTTCATGAGTCAAGTGGATGCCACACCCACCAGTGACTCGCTGGACATAACTGTGACTCCTCGTCCAACAGAAAATGGGTTTATTTGTGTCACGTGCCAGCTGATGCCAGCTGAGGTAGAGTGTCTCTGCTGTGGGGAGGGGGAGCTACTGATCCCAGCGCTTAAACCAATCAGCGTTGGAAGACGGTCAAAAAACGCGTGACCGGAAAGACAAATTCCCACCTCTTATATTTAAATCCTGCTGTTCTAGAGACAGTTTTTCCATATTTCTAAGAGAAACTTGAAAGAAGCACGCAAGCAATGCAGGATCAATGTTCTTCATGCGCCCCATAACTTGCGCTTACACTTTTTCCATGTTTATCATGTTTATAAAATATCATTCCCAGTTAAAATATCAGGCTACACCTAGATTTCTGTTTATTCAAAGTGAAACACAACACTTCATTTAGTAGCAATTTTGTTATTCGAGATACAACTTCTAGCTGTCTTACAGATAGGAAGCCTTGGCTGTGCTAACAAACAAGGACTGATACTTGCATAGTGACATTTTGATATACTTCATGCCCCTTGTGGTCCAGTTTGAAAGTAGAGTAGTACTACAAAGCAGGACATTATGCGGATGATGATGTAGTTTTGGCTTACATATTTAAACGAGGTCTATCTATGGCGTTTTACTAACCTTTTTTTTAAATACTTTTTTACTTTGCTTTAGGTAGATTTTTCAAGTAAATAAATTAAGATTTGGGCATATGTTTACCAAGATGAGATTGGTGACAGTCTACGTCCATTGTTTGTTAGCATCGTTAGATTAGCATCTAACGTTGTAAACTAAAGAAAAGTCAGATACCAAACATGTCTTGGCTGATTGACTGCGTCTAGAGTAAGTGATGAATCAGGTTAGACAGATTTTCCACTGAACTATTCCTGGAAACTACTTAAACCTTACTTGACTATTTTTCTTTTTGTTGTTCTTTCAATCATACTCTGTCTCTTTCTTTCTCTCTCTACACAGAACAGCACTTCTCAGAGGTGGTGCAGTGTGAGGAGTTCCTGAACCTGGGCATGGAGCAGGTGTGCAGCCTCATCGCGAGTGACAAACTCACTATACCATCTGAGGAGAAGGTACAGCACACGCACCCGCGTGCAGCGAGTCACTGAGAAGATGTGTGATCAGGCGTGAGGCTTGATAATGTCTGAGCTGCTCCTGAATTTGTTTACTACAGCACATGCATAGGGCCACACCTGACTGTGCCATGCTGACTCGCAGATTTGTCGCTATAGCAACCTGCAGCATGTGATAGTAACATCTAGTGATTCAGTGTGGTTGGCAAGCGAAGGCTTGTTGGTCGTCTTGGCAACAGGAGCCGGTGGAGATGAGAAGAAGCCTCCAGGCTGTGTTGGTTGCCATGGAAACTGTAGTAATGCAGTGTTTTAAAGTTAAAATGACTAGTGTCTAAGTCTGCAGTGTTTCACTTAAAAGCCATATCTGGGTCCCGATGCCACCTTTACAGACCTCTGACGTGCATGCATGTGTTTGTGTGAAGGTGTTTGAGGCCGTCATCGCCTGGGTCAAACACGATAAAGACGTGCGGCAGGAACATATGGCTCACCTGATGGAACACGTGCGCCTGCCTCTCCTCTCTCGAGAGTATCTTGTTCAGGTGCGTATATATGTGTTTATATGTGTGTGCTTTAGGGGTGGGAATCTTGTGGCACCTCACGATTAGATTCGGTTTCTATTCGGGGTGCGATTATAAAATGATTTTCCATGCATCTGGATGCATGTTGATGTTTCTCCATTTTTCATTTTGATTTAAGAATGTCTCCTGTATTTGTCATTAATGCAGTTCACTGCAGCTTAGACCTACTTTCTATCCTATTTTCACTTTATATGGTTTCATTATATTTCATCAACATCATAAACACTTATTATGTTCTGTGATTTTTGTTTTCCATCTCGTCTAGTTTTTAAGATATTGGTACCGTTTTTAAGATACTGACAACTCCAGAATATTTGATTCTGATTAGGAAAGGTGTGCTTCTGCACTGCTCTTTGCCCGGGTGTACAGATTTCTTTGTGTTGGAACATTTTTTTTTTGTCCTATAGAAAAGAATGGCAGAACTATTGTGGGCAAACGTTTGAGCACCTCACTTATATCACGATGATACCAGTACAATAGCAACATCCGAACAACCACCTGGAATACATGTACATTTTACATTTACTTTTACATATACAGCATTTAACAGATGCTCTTATCCAGAGCGATACCATAGCAGCCACTTATGATACCACAGCAACCACATAGCAACATGCTAACATCATTTAGAGCACCACTGCAACCACCTACCACAACCCTAGGAGCCACCTGGAACAGTGACCTAGCCACCACCTGGAAATCCATAGCATCTGCCTAGCAACACCCTGTTGCCACCTTGAGTAGAATAGGAACCACTTTGCAACACCCAAGCAACCACACGTGACATCATAGCAACCACCTCACAACACTCTAGCAACCACCCAAGATACTATAGTAACCACCTAGAAACACCCTAATAACCACTTAGCCTCACCTTAGCAACTGCCTGGAAATGCTTGTTCAGGAAAAATACTTATTGTTAAATACTGTGATGCTGAGTAACTATAGTAACTATTTCTCCTCTTGTTCTTTAAATGACACACACAAAAGTGACTTCCGTGCTGATAGCACTCCTGGTGGAGAAACTCTAGACAGCTAGATGGGCTCTACTTGAGTTCCGAAGATGTGTCCGCTTGCTTTACATTTGAAACACAAGGTTGTTTTCCATCAGAATCACACAGTTGTTAAGGAAATCAGCTATGCACGTGGGAAACCGGTATATTTTCGTAATTCTACAGCTTATCAGAACCATCTGAGCACTTAAGCTGTACTGAAAATGGTGGGAATTTTCCTCGGACAGTATGTCACACTCTGGGAAACCCAGCATATTTTTTTACTTTGTATGCTGCAGCTTGTCATTCAGTAAATATTCAAACTTGAAACCTAACACTGTGTCCTAAAAGCAAGCGAGTGTTCAAATGTAGCATCGCATCACAAAGCCTTTAGGATTGAAACAGCAAATGTGCATTTGTAAACAAACAGACCTGTCAGAAAATAGTTTGAGGCTTCAACTAAAATATCCAAGCTATGTTGCTGTGTTGGGCAACGCGCTTTTGTCTACTTAGGTAACTAGCTAAGTATCCTTATCTATCAGTAACCAAAGACGTACAGTATTCATATACCTCCGTAATAATAAATTACTCACTACATTTCTGTGGCCTAATGAATACTGGAGTATTCAGATTATTCGGGCCAGTCCTAGTCTGCTTATGTGATTTGTGAGGATTTAAAACGCTCTTTTGTAACAGTGCTATTACAATGTAACTGTGTGTTATTGTGCAGAGGGTAGAGGAAGAATCGCTGGTAAAGAACAGCAGTGCCTGTAAAGACTACCTGATTGAAGCCATGAAATACCACCTGCTGCCGGCAGACCAGCGCTCTATGATGAAGACCGTCCGCACCAGGGTGCGCACACCCGCCAGTTACCCAAAGGTGAGTGCATTTTCCATTTCAAACCCCCAAATAATTTTGGACAAAGCTGTTTATAAGCCTTAGCAATAGAATACTGAAAAATACTTAATATTTTAAAACCGTAACATTCAATTTTCTGTGTTTGGAAGAGATTTTACGTGGCAAATTACTCAATTAAACTCACAGTTAAGAAAGTCTTGAAACTGGACCTTGAAGTGTCTGTCCTTTTAAGAGAGATGGATTTTGGGAAATGTGAGTTTGATGTTTATTCTCATACTATTTTTCATGAAATAACTCTTTTTTAACTTCTTTTATTTTACTTTTTCAAATATCTTCTATTCATGTTTAGTAAATAAAAGATTTACACATCACTTGCTCTGTTAAAAGCGTCGTTGTTACTATGTTTTAAAGCCGGTGGTGTATTTGTCAGTCAGTTTAATAAATTGGTATATCAGATCAATTCTTAAGTTCTCAGTAGTTGTAGTCTTGGAAAGGTACACATTGTTTTTTCTGTATTTTTTGCCAGTACATTTGTGAGGGATTTGTCAGGGTTTCCAGTCAAAAGCAAGTAAATAAATAAATAAATAATTGAGGGAAAAGATGCTGACTCACTACAGTACATGGCAGCCTGTTGCACTGTTGGTGACTCCAAACCTGCTTCTTTGCTCCATGCCATGACACAGCTTATTCGGTTTGGCTCCATGGCTCGATTATGTATAACAGTATTATACAGTATAATTTTACTTAGTACTTAATAATTACGATATTTTGACAAAAACATGCGCCAGTCGTGCCACATTTAAAAACTGACATGGAAAAACTCTGATACTATAATGTACTGCACCAAATCCAATTAAACAGGACTGGTTATTTCCTCTTTATAATGAAACATGCAGTTGGTTGTTGTTCTTTAAGTATTGACAGTATTCACTGTTTGCTTAGAAAAGCATATTGTTTATCACGATAACAACAAAATATCATCATATTGCCCACCACAGCTGGTACTGTGACTGCAAACCATGTACAGAGCAGTGCAGGGGAGGACTGAGGATATGATTTATTCCACTCTATGATGAATTTCCCTCCCGTATTGGAAAGTGACAGTGATGTTTATTGGCTTAATTAAGCAATGTTAATCGACAAGACATATAAGTTGTGCCACAGCTTGTGGCCTGAAGCTCTTTGAGTTGTTGTCATAACGTGGGTCTGTTTTGCAGGTAATGGTGGTCGTAGGGGGGCAGGCTCCGAAAGCTATCCGCAGTGTGGAGTGCTATGACTTTGAAGAGGAGAGATGGTTCCAAGTGGCTGAATTACCTTCCAGACGATGCCGAGCAGGTGCGCACACTGTTCACATTGTTTCGGTTGATAAGGGGATATTGTGATAACCTTTGCTGATTTATTTTCTGGTATCTGTCTATTCTGTAATGGATGTTTAGTGGGCTTCAGCAGAAAGCAGTGGTGGTACTTTGCCCACAAGCAAGGCAAGGAGGAGAAAAAAAAAACAGCACAACGAAAATAGCGGAAAACAGAGCCATTGGAGCAGAACTTGTTTTAAAATGGAAATTGTTCACGTACTTGAATTCATCTTCGTTACGTTATGAAGTGTAAAATCACTGATTAATTAAAGAATTCGTCCATAGATCGTATTTAATTTAAAAGTATTTGTGTATATGTAGTTTATCATACTACCCAAGAACATCTCCTCCATTTTTCTGAAGAAATGAAAAAGCAACAAACACATCGCAGGGGGCTCCATTTTCTCTCACCAGTTCCCTCACAAGTTTCGCGCCGCTCTGGTGACGTCACTATGCAGTCTTGTTAGTGCTGTTCCATTTGTCTGACCAATAGAGACCAAAGAGGAGTCTTCATAGGACAGTCCTACCAAGGACCCGCACTACCTTGGCTGCAGCCTAGGCTTTGGAATGCAGCTGTTCTCTAGCATTTAGCATGTTAGCCAGTGCTGAGCCACACCTGTGGGTAGTTCAACTTCAGTTCTGATTTAGCTGCACAGCCGGTGGGAAAGGAACCATAATTGGTCTTATGAGTCCACACCAGCGCGGAACTGCACAGTATGGTCCTATGAACCTTTTGGTTCTACAGTGGAAAAGAGGCCAGAGTCAGCTGGAAATAACACTAGTTTAGAGGATAAAGTCTCAGAGAGCCCAAAATCGAGCGACTGGTGTTAAAGTGAGAGCACTGAAACGACTGTTTTAAAGCTGAACTAACTCTGTCATTCAGTTTTCTAACTCTGCCTCTTCGTCAGTCCCAATGCATTTCTTGATTCCTTATGTGTGTGTATATGTGTGTAGGTGTGGTGTACATGGGTGGCATAGTGTATGCTGTTGGAGGCTTTAACGGCTCTTTGCGGGTGAGGACAGTGGATGCATACGACCCTGTGAAGGATGAGTGGTGCTGTGTGAGCAGCATGCAGGACCGGAGGTCGACACTGGGGGCTGCTGTTCTTAATGGGCTCCTCTATGCTGTGGGTGGTTTCGATGGCAGCACAGGTAACATATGTTTTGCACATTGAGACACTGTTTAATGGCAATCCTGACAGTGGTTTTAATAAATAAACATCTTTTACTCATTTTCATCATTTATTACATTTCTTTGTGGTCTGTGAAAGAAAACAGAACACTTTAAGTGAGTCTTTATGTGTTTTATCCTGTCATGTATTCCTCTGTGAAGAACAGGTTATTTCCATGTAGCTGATTTTGTTTATCAAGGAAAATTGTTCTCATTGGCTGTCTCAGAGGGGGCGGGACAGGGGGTGTTTTTGTGCAGTGGTGGTGAGCTGAACTGTAGCCGATGAAAAGCACAGTATAAAGAGATAAATGACCACAGACAGTCACATGGCCATGCGCATGTGCCAGCCACACAATGTACCAGTACACAGCATGTCATGCTTAATGCTGTGCTGTAACTTTTCTCATGCGGTAGGTCCGCTAAGATTTCCGCTAATTTGCACTAGCCTGATAATGCTCATATGCCTGTGACGTTAGCATCAAGCTAACAGTTGTGAATTTTTACGTATTATAGCAGCTGTTTAGATTAAACTCAGGCATTTTATGTTTGTATAAGAATTTTGTTAAGATATTTTTTATGTTGGATGTCGCAGTTTGAATGTTGACTCCTTCAGTCAAGATTTAAACTGAATGATGATGCTTGGACAACTAGCTTGTCTTTAGCTCATGGATGGGACGTAACTTAAGCATGTAGATGTGTTGCGTGTGCAAAGAAGACATTACCTGTCATAAAAATGTGGTTAAAACATTTCCCTCTGGCCAGGGAAAAAACGTTCCATTAGCTGCTGATAGCATTTCACTAGCTGTCTTGTTTTGCTTGTGGTATTGATTCAGACTCCAGACATTAAAAGAGCACAGACTAGTAGAATTTATGGGCAGATTTTAGACAGGGGAAACTTATCCAGCACCAGAAGTTTAACAAGTTGTCCCCAGACGTGTATTCTCATGACAAGGTCACGCTTTGGCCCTGCGAGACCAGTTTGAGGCTTTAAGGTGTCAAAATTGTCATTAATTGGAGGACGAAAATTGTGTTTAAATAATTGTTTAATTTTGAATTCTGTTTAATTTACTGTTATGCAGGCTTGGCTACTGTTGAGGCGTACAACGCTAAGACCAACGAATGGTTTCATATAGCACCCATGAACACCCGACGCAGCAGTGTGGGAGTGGGTGTGGTCGGAGGTGAGTGTGGCCAATCAGAGTCCTTAACACCCACCCAGTGCATTTAGAATACACAAGGAAAAATACGAAGAGATGTGATATGTGGAACTTTGTGGATACATGTCGTCTTAAATACTGTTGCAGTCAGAATAGATATGAATAAGTATAAGTAACTAAAAGTAAGTTGATGTAAAACAAATTTTGGACATTTTTAATTATGTTTAAAAAATGCTGAAAATGAGAATGCGGCAATATGCAAACATAAGGATAAGACAAACGCAAACCGTTTTTTTAAATTATTGTTCATTTTTTGGTGAACTATATTTATTTATTTATTTATTTATTTATGACTTGCTCAAATTGAAAAATACAAAGATTTAGTCATTTCGTAAAACTGAGTAGATTGATTTGAAACAATTACAAAAAAAAATAGGAATAATTTAAAGGGACCTATATCAGGGGTGCACAACTCTGGTTCTGGAGGGCCAGTGTCCAGCACAGTCTGGTGATTTACCTGCTCCAGCACACCTGATTACACTTATATGTTAATTGTCAGGTTAAGTGGATGTGTTTGAGCAGGGAAACCTCCAAACTGTGCTGGACACCAGCCCTCCAGGACTGGAGTTGTGCACCTCTGGCCTATATCCTTCTTTTTCATGTATCTTAAGTTTTGGCATTTAAAACATTTATGCGGTTTTATGTACGAAAATCATTTTTTCAAACCTCTCTGTATCCCTTAGATTAAAACAACCTGTTTTTGTTACTGTTCCTTTGAGACTGATACATGTAAATGAGCTCTGTTTTGATTGGCTGCCTTGCAAAGTTCCTCATTTTAAAAAGAACTCAGAACTGAAACACTCCTTAACTTCTGAGTGAGTGGGTGGGGATGAACTGCTGCAGGCTCAACAGGTACATATGTAAATGAGTTCTTGTGACATCACAGAAACAGTTTCCATATATTGACTGAATGAACTCAGAAGTGAACAGAATGCTTGGTTTTCCATGATATGAGCCCTTTAATTGTCAAGTTGTTGAATGTTTACTGTGTTGTATATTTGTTGCATTTCATAATAATGTGATCTTATTCTGCTGTTATAGGTTTTAGGCTTTAATACACAGACAAGCGTCCACCCTCACTGATGCGCTGTGTTGTGTGTGCACTTGTAGGTATACTGTATGCTGTTGGTGGATATGATGGAGCGACGCGTCAGTGTCTGAGTACTGTGGAGGCGTATAACCCGAACACTAACGAGTGGACCTACATAGCAGAGATGGGCACTCGGCGCAGTGGAGCAGGTAACCCACTAGAACTTTATATAGGCACAGTACAGGGGTTTGAGATACAGTATATTACATTGTGATACTGTTTTTCAAATCCAATTTTAGGAAAACTGTTATAGTATAAAAAAAAACACACCACCATAAAGCATAAAATCTGAGTAAAAGAAAAAGTCTAATAGCTGAAGATAGATTACAACACTGCTATCTAGTGGTTTGAGGTTTAAACACAGCACAAAATGAACCACTGTCTGCTACAAATCTTTACATGTAAACTGTTGATTAAAAAATGTTTTTGAGAATCAGTAGTGTCACAAAATATAATATTGTGATACTCAAGGGTATCAATATTTTTGTACACCCCTATTACCCACACAACACAAACACATGGACATAAACAAGCATTTCTCTTAAGCGGCTGCCTGTTTTATTTCTGTTCTCTGTATGTTTGTGATGGACAGGTGTGGGTGTGCTGAAAGGCCTGCTGTATGCAGTGGGAGGACACGATGGCCCATTGGTCAGGAAGAGCTGTGAGGTGTACGACCCCGCCTCCAATTCCTGGAAACAGGTGGCCGATATGAACATGTGCCGTCGGAACGCAGGTGAACTAGAGGATGTTTAAATAACCTTTTAACAGCAATGTTGATGTTTTCTTTGTCAGCTAATGCTTAAAGAACGGTTCTTCATCACATGCCAGTAAAATTATGCTCAAGATAATTAAATGCAGGCTAGAACCGTACGTTGAATTTCGAGCAAAAGGTGGCCGAAAAGCAGCATCAGCCTGGTAAAAATTAAAGGGGAACTTCAGTGATTTTTCCAAATTTCTGTATAATTAAATAAACAGTAAACAGAGTCACTCAGTGTGGTTTGGAGTGTGAAATGCTTTGTTCTAGAAAAAACTTGCCGAGACAGAATTGTTCACAGTGGTGGTGATAGGAACCAGACGTCCACCTCTGAAAATGCCCTCACAGAAAGTTTTTACATGAAATGGTTATGAATACACTGAGACATTGTTTTAAGGTAGTTAAGGAAGTTTTGGTCTTTAAAAAAAAAACGTGAATCCATTCATGGTGGAGAGATACATGGTGTTCTGAGGCAAAATTGTGCACAACAAAAACTAATTTTATCAGATAGACCATTATTTTACCAACATCAATATCACATTTATAAACTCAGAAGACACGTGTAGGTTCACTGGTGGTTTTGGATAGTAAATAAAAGGCTATATTTGCATTATAGACATGGCGGCCCCTGATTCTAATCACCACCACAGTAAAGACCTAGTAGTCAGTAAAGTTGCTCTACAAATGATCCATTTTGTATCAAACCTATCTGAACGACTTTGCTGACATCTTAACCATTGAACTATGCAGAAATTTTGAAAAATTGCTGGAATATTATATAATAATACCATAAATTGTTCTTGTTAAGTTATTTTGGTTGTAAAAAATAAATTTCTTATTAAAAAAAATGAAAGAAACATCTCAGAATAATAAGCCACTCTTAACCTACAAAAATACATGTATTTATGCATCAAATATGGTTTTTATGGTTTCTAAAACAATACTGTAAGATCTTAAGATATTGATAAATGACAAAAATGTAACGTAAAAGACAATTTTTATTTATGCAAAACAGCACTGTACTAGACCTGTTTCAATTATGGGACGATTTATTGCCATGTAAATGATTGTGATCAAGGTTTGAGTTGTCTTTTCTTGTTAATTGTACGCACCTGTTAAAGTACAAGCCTAAAGTGGCCAAATTGGCTTCTTAGCTACAGTCACATGCAAAAGTTTGTTTGCCCCTGGTCAAGTGACATGTTTTGTTAATTTTCTAAGTAACAGTTAACACATTCTCTACAGAGAACACACTTCTGCACATGTTAATGCACAATTACTGTTAATTTGATGAATTTTACATATTGGGGGAAAAAATAGAACATAAAATGAGGCATGTGCAAAAGTTACAGCACATTTATATTGTTATATTTTGTTATGTTATATTGTTAATGTTAACTCAGCAAATTACTTGTAATTGTGTATTAAAATGTGCATTGTCCTACACATTTTAATACACAATTACAATTAGTTTCGTTGTAGAGGATGTGTTAACTTATTTTCACTTAGAAAACCGACAAACCCTCATTTTACTGGGGTTGTTGAAAGTTTTGCATACTGTATGTTTATGCAGTAGCTTGGACTGTTTGTACTGTCAAAATGATGTACTACACTACTGGGCGCACATACGTACACTCAAATGCCAGTGTGTTAGAATGAATGCATTTACTGCTTGCCTTTATTTTTTATAGTTAATATTTTTTCTTGCTGCAGCATAATATAAATTTCAATATTGTGAAAGCTAAAGACTGGTGGAAATGATTGCAGTCAGCTTAAATAGATATGATCATCTTAAACAACTTCCATCATTTCAAATAATTGTGATTAGACAAATATGTAATTGGGACAGGCCTACACTGTACACAAGCCATTAACTTTATCATCAAACTTAAATCATAGTAAAAGATGATCTGCTTATGAATAAGTTGTTTCAGAATTTCTTCGCATTATATATAAAGTCACAGCATGCTTTTATCTCACTAGAGAACTTCCTTGGCCTAACTGTAACAGTATCAGCAATACAAATACGGTCCTAAAATGTGAAGCTTCCATTGTTATGTTATGTTCATTCGTGTCCATCTTGGTTTTTTAGCAGTGCTTAAATCAGTGAAGGCGCATTTGTATGTCTGTGTGTCTCTAGGTGTGTGTGCGGTCAGTAATCTGCTGTACGTGATCGGAGGTGATGACGGCTCCTGTAACCTGGCGTCAGTGGAGTATTATAACCCCAGCACGGATAAGTGGACCATACTACCCTCCTGCATGAGTACTGGGCGCAGCTATGCAGGTTAGAGGGAGTCTCATTATGGTGGAAGGGTTGTCACTAATAGTAGGCTAAAAAAAACACTTTACCTATTATTCCAAATGTAGCTTCAGCTGGAGTCTGGTGTCTGACATTTACTTCTTTAGTTTTGCACTGGAGCTTCAAAGCCAATGGTACTAACAAACTGTGGAAGCTTATACCACCCAGTTAGAAGGGCGTAAACTGCATACCTACAACAAGATTCAAATTAAAAATGCCAGTTGACTTTTTTTTTTATGTGGTATCTGACCAGGCCAAGACTGAACATCACAATACTTCACAACGTTTTCACCCTGTATTATATGTATAACATGTATAAATTGGAATGAACGGTCAAGACTAGGCAAGCTTAGTTTTACCAGACCACCACAATCTGCATAGCTTTTGTCACACAATCTGTAATACAGAATACAAGATAAGATGTATTTTGATTATATTAATCACTATTTCTAGAATCGTCTCTTTGTAAAGTTACATTTATTCACCAGGGTAACCTTAGCTAGCTTAACTTCAACATCACATCACTGCATATTATAATAACATTAATAATAATATTAAGTAAAATGTTCAGTAACTGTTCAAGTAAATCAAGTTACCTTATTTGAACAGTATAATTATATGGTAGGGCTGGTCAATATGACAATATTTATGTTAATCACAATGTACCTCTGTTTGGTTGTGGGTTCTGGAGTTTGCTGAGAGTGACTGATCCATGTTAGAAAATCTCCTCTCACACATCTCATCCACACTTTATACAGAAACACAAGATCAGAGTGTAAATGAGCTTGTAATACTCAGTACATTTAATATTGAGATTTGAGCCTCATTGTTTGGTTTTTTTGTTTACTTTTATATAGACACTGAACTTTTCTTTAATCATTTTTTTCCCTTCAACAAGCACTGTTGTCTTTTAGGGACAACAGTGGAAATATTTTGGGATTACCTGAAAAAGATCAAAATAAATGTTGCAGTTATGTTAGCACGTCTTTTCTAATCCTGTACAGAAAACATATTGTATCGTAATGCAAGAACAACAATACATATTGCATTGTGAAATTTGTTGTTACACCACTAGTGTCAGATAGTATTGGATGTTGGTATCAGTGAACTTTTATGAGTACAAGTAATTGAGCACAGTATCGGATAAATACCTGATACCAGCATTGTTATCAGTGCATCCCTAGTTAAAGCATTATGTTGTCACGTTATACTGACTCCATCTCTGTGTTTGTGTGTCTAGGTGTGACGGTCATTGATAAACCTCTTTGAGTGGTTGGAGTTGAACCCTGTTGAAGTGGAAGCTGATAAGCTGATGTGATGCTGAAGAGTGGCTCACACTGAAGCTCTTGACGAGGCTGAAGCTTCGCCCTGAAGCTGCTTCACCACAGAGATGGCCTGAGGAACACTACTCTCTCTCTCTCTCTCTCTTTCTCTCTCTCTCCCTCTCTCTCTCTCTTTCACACACACACACATACAGTCTTATACACTCTCTCTCTTACATATGCACTCTCATTTACACATTCTCTCTCTCTCTCTCTCTTTCTCTCTCTCTCTCTCTCTCTCTCTCTCTCTCTCTCTCTCTCTCTCTCTCTCTCTCTCTCTCTCTCTCCCCTTTGAGAGTAGTTAACAGTATGACGAAGATTATTGCACTTTTGCAGTGAAGTACTAACCAAGCTGGAGGGATGGTTTTGAACCCTAACACAACCGTTTTAGCTTGTGAGATCAGACATGAGCGGAAATGCATCGTAAAACACTAAAGTGACGTTGTCGAGTCTGATCGTGGGGATGGTGGTCGATCTGTAGACCTGAAGGAACCTCTCGGTGAACTGTTTTTGCTCATTGCAGATGAATGCATCTCGATGAAACGGACCAGCACTTTCTCGCCTGTCTGAAGCTCTGGACCTCGCAAAGTCACTGGATTGAAGAGAAGCTTTTTACGATCGAAGGATGGACTAATTCCGATTTTACTGCTAGAAACAAGTGCTGTTTGCCTACAAACGACTGCGGCCTCAAGCGAACGAAGTCAACTTTTGAGGATAACTTGCACATTTCTCGAGTTTGTGTGCCAAACTATGTTTGAAGAGTCTTAACGCTGAATATTTGCATTCATTGATTTCTTATGGAAAATGTCTTTTAATTGTGATCCAATTGCGTGTGAATTGCGGTTATCGATATATTAGTGATGCGCTGATCTATTGCTGCGTGTGTCTGGGCATGCGCGACGCTGCGGACTGCTGCCGGCTGCTTGGACATGGAAGCACTTTGCATGGATCTCGGTTCTCGTGTTTTTTTTCCGTGTGCGTACCGTTTTTAAACTACTGCTGTAGTCCGTTCAGTTAAGAATGTGACACATGCGCTCTCTCACTACCAACTGTTCTGAACACTGACCAAATGTGTGGAAAAAAAAAAAAACTCACTCTTGTGCTTTTCTTTTCCTTCTTTTTCCTTTCTTTCTTCCTTCCTTTCTTCTTACTTTGTTCTTTCTTTTTTCTCTACCTCTAACCTGTCTAATCTTGATTCTCTCTCTCTCTCTCTCTCTCTCTCTCTCTCTCTCTCTCTCTCTCTCTCTAGTATTTATCAATAATAATAATTATGATAAATATTATAACTAACTAGTACTACGTGTTGGTCAAGAGGAATGCTGTGTACTTGAAATGTTTCATAAATTGTTTTATATCATAAATAATAAACATGCTTCTTGTATTTAAACTGAACCTTAAAGTTCAAGTTCAAGAGTGTGTTTGATTTCACACAGTTTCAGGACTTAAAGGTCCTGAGAAAAACCTCTAGCATCAACAAAACAGTCCTCACTTTGTGAAGTGCCCTTTACAAAAGCGCAGTGTTCAATGCTTTATTGGAAAGGCATAGCGTTTCTTTTTAGTTACTGAGATTAAGGTTCGAGTTCTCGAAGGTTCGAGTCCTGTTCTAATTATATGTAGGTATCTACATTTATGAATTATTCTTCCAAATTGGCTGGACTTTAATCTTGGACTTTAGTCTAAAATCCTTTTGCTTTGAGTGACTTTATACCTTAATTATGGTTATTTTATTAAAATAAATTATTGAACATTCCCTTTTGTCAATACCAAACCAATCATAACACTATCAGAACTTTACCAAATGTTTCGGTAGTGGCATTTTAGCTAATTATGAGCAGAACTCAAAAAACTCTAGCCAGTGCATGACTAACAAACACAGCTTTGTACAGCTGTACTCACATAAAATCATAACATTTTTAATTAAAACACAAAAAAATTTACTTAATTGCAGAAAATATGCATTTCAGTACTGCCAGTTCTTGATTTAGGCAAACCTTTCAGCCATGTTGCTGAGTTTGAGTGGAGGTGAGTCTGTGTTAACAATTAAATGTGTGAGTGTGTGAGTGCTATTGCTTTGTTTAAATTTTTAATGTTATTATTGAAAAATGATAATTAAACCCTTAATTATTGTAATCAGTCATTAACATAATCACAACTACTATTTAATTAGTAGACAAAATTGATATTTCAAGTTTTTCTGTTTTGCTCTAAGTGGTCTTTTATCATAAAATGAAATTGAGTCATTAAGACAGTGATGGAGGCCTGAATTTCATTATTGCTCTAGTTTGATAACTTATTTTTTGAAAAATGCAAAAACTAGAACTTGACATAAATTATCATTCTGTTAAACCTAGATGACCAAGGAAAATTAATGAAGAAAGTAAAAAAAAATGATTAAAACAAATGGAGAAAATGGAACTCCTAATAACTGCAAGACCTGTTAGACCACCCACACTGTCCCCATCAGGTAATCAGCAAGGCTTTTATCTCTGAGAGAGAGGAGAAAATCAAGCTCCACTCTTGATTCAGATCTAAAAACATTCACAGGTGTTTCTGTCCACCCTTCCACTGTGAGAAGACAACACTATGAGTCTGAAAGGATGTGTAGCTGTCAAGAAGACATTATTGAGAAAAGGAAAAGGAAAAAAAAAATCCAAGAACAATGGACTGACCACCCCAGAGTCCAGACCTTAACATCACTGAATGTGTTTGGGATTGGTTGCATTATAAAAAGCATAAAATTCAACCAACTTCTAAGACTGAACTTTGAGGTGTGGAAATATATTCCAGTAAATTTCTCCGAAAAACTGAAACTGAGTCTCCTAAAAAGAATGGAAGCTGTAGTAAATACTGATATTATACTTACTGGTGAGGCTTCTGTATAATTTTTGGTTAAATGTTTTTTATGCTTTAGGAACACCTGGACTTAATGGCTAACGATGGTTCTTCAAGGGTCCTTTAGTAAAAACAGTGGTTCCATTCAGAACCATGAGTTCTACATAAAACGTGTGAAAATGGTTCTGTATAGCACCAAAAAGGGTTCTTCTAGTGTTATGATGTCAAGCTTGTAACCATAGAAGAACGCTTTTTGGCCTTTGAGGCTGTAGTCTCAAAAAGACCATATACAACACATTCTCTTTCAATCTGAAGAACCATTTCATCATGCAAAGAACCATGCATGAAATGGTTCTTCTAAACAGAACCATTGCCTTTACAAAAGAACCCTTAAATAACCATCTTTTTTTAAGTGTGTAGATTTGGGACATATTGATAGTTTATATAACATAATATAATACAATATAATATAATACGTGTGTTTGTACATGCGCGTCAGATGACGTCCCTCCCCTCTCCACTCAGCTGGACCACCCCACCGTTCGCTCATCCACTCTCTCCCGATCCTCGCTCCTGATTGGCTGCCGCAATAGCTTCTCCCGTCTCACTATCATCACTCCATACCGCCAGCCAATCAGCGCGCCGTTGCCGCGCGCCTACGTCATCCTCGTCTTGTCTCGGCCAATGGGCGCAGCCGAAGTGCCTCTACATTAAAGCCGCTCGGGCTCGAGCAGGTAGAAGAGACGCTTCTCAAAGGTAAGAAACTCAGCTTCGCTCAGCTTTGACCACAACTTACAGCACTTTTACCGCCTCAGAGGTAAATTATACCGGCTCGTTCCACTCAGGACCGTTTAAATACGCTTTAATCCGCTCCGACGCCTTCCAGACCTCACCTTTCAGACCCTCAACTCACTGTCCGCAGTGACAGTGCGGTACTTTGACGAAGCTGGAGTCGAGCTTTCTTATTCGCCAGCTTTAGGTTCGAATTCTCCCGTTCCACCTTAAATGGTGCAGCAGTTACAGCAGTTACCTGCCTCAGAATTCAGCTGCTGCACCATTTAAGGTGGAACGGGAGAATTCGAGCATGAAGCTGGCGAACAAGAAAGCTGACCTCAGCCTGGTGATACTTCGGCTGTTCGCAGACCTGCTGGTGTTGTTTATCTGACCTGTGCTTTACTCGTGGTGCGGTGAGAGCAGTGGAAACTTCCAGGCCTGACTGTGTTAAAATATGTAACGTTAGCTGCATCATAATGAGGGCTGGATGTAGTCGAAGTATGTATGGCTATACCATAAATCTGTAACAGTCTCCGTCCAGTGCATGGTACAGTAAAAATCTCTTACAGGGTAATTCCAGCGATTTTTCAGAATTCCTCCATAATTCAGTGGTTGAGATGTAAACAGTCATTCAGAGTGGTTTGATGTGAAATAGTTCATTTGTAGAGAAACTTACTGACTCTGATTCCTTACAGTGGTGGTGATAGGAACCAGGGGTCCCAATGTCTTCTGAGTTTAAATATGTAATGTTAATGATGCTAAAATAGTGGAAAGTTTTCTTTGTGGACTGTTTTACCTTAGAACAGCCTTCATGCATCCTTCCGCCATGGATGGCTATTTAAAATATATCTTTTAGGTCAAATCCTTACTGCAAAACTTTAGTAAAACAATGCCCCAGTCATCAGGCAGTGCATTCATAACCATTTCATGTAATAACTTTGTGTGAGGAAGCTTTCAGAGGTGGACGTCTGGTTCCTATCACCTCCACTGTGAGCAATTCTGGTTCTGTAAGTTTCACTAGAACGAAGCATTTCACAGCAAACCTCTCTGAATGACTTTGTTTACATCTTAACCATTAAATAACGCAGAAATTTGAAAAAATTGGTGGAGTTTCTCTTCAACTGAAGGTTCTAGAAAACAGTGACGTTCTACACAATGAGCTGTCTGTCAGAGGTGGGCACTTTCACTCAGTTACTTGTGTAAGAAGCACGGTTTAGTTGGATTTATGGACTGTTTTCCTCAGTATTTTCAAATCATTCTTACTTCTGCTTTAGTATATTTGTGGGGAAATGAATCAACCTTCAACTCCGTTCCATGCGAGTCATTCACATTCACTTGATACTGTTTACCTCAAGTTGTTTTTTGGTAGCTACTTTTACTTCTTCGGTCATTATTTTGTTGGAGTAACAGCACTTAAAGAGACAATCTGGCCAAAATGAAGAATTTACCATCACTCTATCTGTGGTAAACCTGCCCACTGGCCTTCTACAGTGGTGTTGCAATAGTGTCTAGAGTGAGATCTTTCTGTTTAAACACTGAAACTTCCCCTCTTCTGATGATGTGTTCTGAAGGTGGGAGGGACTTCTGAAAAACTACAAGCACTTTGGGGTGGATACTTGAGAGCAGGCAACAGAAGGAATCCAGATAGCTGATGCATGTGTATAGTCTCTACTTCAGTTAGTATTTCTTTATAACTCTGGGTAAATGGTCAGTGGCTGAAATGCATTTGCGTAATGCATGCTGGGAATTGTAGTACAAAATACTGATGGATAAAAAACACAAAAAGGATACAAAATCATGAATTCTGTCAAACCGATGAAGCTGAGCGATGCAATGCGGCACTACAGAATATTACATAAGATCATAAACAGTGTATTAAAAGTAGTTTTAGGCCTCTTAATGAATGGTTTCAAGCTCCTCTTCCCACTGTTTACTAAACAGATGCACTTTTATATCTGCAGTTCACCAGTGTCCTCATATTAACTGCTAAATCTTAAACCTTCATTGCGTTGCTGTTTGAGTCTCTCATTATCTCAGTCTGTCACATGTCTGTTAGGCCAGTTTTACTGTTTTTGACAGTAAGACTGAAAACTCATTAATGCCTCTCAAATGTATTCCACAATAAGGCAAAAGCTGTTTAAGGAATGTGTAACGTTGTGTTTGGTAACAGTCTAACAAACGTATTTGGCAGCTTTAGTATCTGCAGCGTAGATGGTATTGTGTAAATTAAGTTATATATGAGTATATGAGGGTGTCTGAGTCCTTATCAAGTCTGAGAGTGTGATATAACTGCTGCCTTTGAACTTGGTTCCAGTCCAAATGACCCATCTGGTCACTTCTGAGCTTTTGCTGCATTACAATTTGCTTAATTTGACCTTAGAAATGTGTTACTTCTGTCATTTTGGTGTGCTGGTAAAAACTAATTACATGATTAGTTATTCAATGAATTACATTATAATTACATTTACATTTGATTTACATTCTTTGCATTCTTTTCTGTTTGAACGTCAGAAAATTACAAAAATGAGAAATAAATGACAAAATAAAAATCTCCTTTTGTACTAGAAACACAAATGTTGAAACAGAATTTCAGTGCTTGTTTCAATCAATCAATCAATCAATGAGGGTGATCCTCATTTACAATGTTGCTGATACAGGAGAAGGGATTGATAATGTGTAAGAAAATATCAAATAATAAAGTAAATTTAATAAAAAAAAAGACTCAAATCAGGTAAGTAAAAGGTAAGTAAAAAAAAACATTAATAATAAAAATACATAAACATACAGTAGAAAATATGAAACAATAATTAAAGCGTAGCTAAAATGTGAAAGTTATTAAAATCAAAAGAAGATAAATTAAACAAAAGGAGGATAAGATAAAGGAAACAAAAATGAATTAAAATGACTAAAATAATAAAATAATCATAATTAAAATAAGAGAATAAGAATAATAAGTAATAAATAAGTAATTAAGTAATAAATAAGTAATAAGTAATAAATAAGTAAAAAAATAATGAACATGAGACAATAATAGTAAAAAATCAGGTAAAACAGTTGGGGGCAGTGTGGAGGTGGTTAGAGGGTATAAGTTTAAATTGACTGAGTGACCCAGAGAGCTGAGCTTTAGTGTTTCCTGTAGTGAGCTCCAGCTCGCTGGTGCACTGTAACTAAAGGCAGATTTTCCCAGTTCAGTAAAACCTCTCAGTACCTGGCATGTGATCCAACCACTGGATAATTACCATTATTTACAGACATCATTTAAGTAATCTATGCTGGCATACGGCCGGAGAGTGTTTTATAGATAAAAATAAACCAGTGTGTTTCCTGCTGTGTTGCTAGTGAGGGCCGACCAGCTCTTTCATACAGTCTGCGGTGATGAGTGTTGTACAGGTTTCAGTGAGCTGTGAGTGAGAAGTGTGGAATATACAATTTGAACAATGCATTTGTTATTGATGGTGATGATGCGTTAATGAATAAATCAGTTAATTATGTACCTTTGTTTGTTTGTTTGTTTGTTTACTCAAAGGGGCCCCACTGACCCACAGGCATGGAGGTGAACAGCACGACCAACATTTTGTCCTCGGCGTACCTGGCCGTGGAGTACGTGGACTCGTTGCTACCAGAGAACCCTCTGCAGGCGCCAGTGAAAGCAGCATGGAACCACATGCTTCAGAACTACAGCAAGTTTCAGATCGCAACGTGGGGCTCCCTCATCGTCCACGAGCTCATCTACTTCATTTTCTGCCTGCCGGGCTTCATCTTCCAGTTCCTGCCGTTCATGCAGAAGTACAAGATCCAGCAGGTGGGCATCAGGCTGACCAGTCAGGAGTCAGATTTCAGTAGGAATGTCATGATCAGGGTTTCTGCCTATAAACCCGATCCCGGCCAGTCCTAGTGTTGAATATCTGAAATGCAGTACTTTGTGAAAGTCAGCCGAGAAAATTGTTTAAAAGTATTTATCTTGGCAATAAGTGTGTTTTTGTTTGTGTACAACATATAACATGGTAATAAATGTAAATAAACATGTAACAGTAAAACGTATACGTGTTACATGTAATGCAGTTAATATGTTGTGAGCTAGTTAGAAGTTTGGTTCCAGATTTTTTCTCAGCTCTCCCAACAATGCATGGGTTCGTTAAAGTCGATCACCAGAACACGTGATTTAACTCAATAAAGCCAAATCAGATGTTGTATGATAACAACAGACAATGCTGGTCTGGAACTGGTTTAATGAACACATTTTAATCCATAAAATCACTGAGTATTGAAAGAATGTTTGTACTTTTTCTAATATTAATGTTTTTCTGAGCAAAACAGTTTTATTGCCCTTACTGACATTTTGTTTGTTTATTAATTTAAGGCATCTGCTACAGAGAACAAATATGGCATTTTTTGCAAATTATAACCCTAATATAACCCTAGTGCTCAATTTCTATTTATGTGTTACATAAAATATAAAACCTACAAGGTGTCTTAACTTTTGCACAGGCCACATTTTATGTTAATTTTTTCTAATATGTTAAATTCAGTGAATAAACAGTCATTGTGTATGAAAGTGTGCAGAAGTGTGATCCCTGTAGGGGGATGTGTAACTTATTTTCACTTAGAAAATCAACAAAACTTAATTTGACTAGGGTGCAAAAGTAAAAACAACAAAGTAAAAACAACAGAGAAAGAAAATAAAAAAGGTAATCAAAAATAAACAAATAATAAATAGCAGAAAAGGGGAAATATTTATTATTACAATTAAAAATCACAAGATAAAAGTATAAATAAAAAAAGAAAAAAAATTACAATCAAAATGCAACTAACAAGAAAATAAAAGTAAAAACGAAAAATTTAATAAATAAGACCAACTGCTTAGGTATTGAAATTAGGTATTGAATGTCATTGTTTTGATGCTGGTATTCAAGCAGTCCAGTCAGTTCAGTTTATACTACAATAGTACTGAATTACGATATTCAGCCTCTGACATCTTGCTGTATGTTTGTTATATTTCTGTGGGTCTGTGTTCAGGATAAACCAGAGACGTGGGAGTTGCAGTGGAAGTGCTTTAAGATGCTCCTCTTCAATCACTTCTTCATCCAGCTGCCTCTCATCTGTGGCACATACTACTTCACTGAATTCTTCAGCATCCCTTATGACTGGGAGTCCATGCCCCGCTGGTGAGAACATCTGTTTATAAAGCATCTCTAACAAAATCTCCACCTGGGTTTATATATTGGATTTTCTAGTACTTTTTGAGAGGGTGCTATTGTTGCATTGGGACAGTTGTACAGTTGTGTACTCTTGACATACTTTAGCAGTACTACATGATTAACCAGACAGTTAATCAAGCAGGGACATTTTTGTTGGAGGACGTCAGTCTCAAACCCTGCAGTTTGTTTTCTGGAGCTCTTTGTCTATCCTACAAATAGAGCATGTGAAACTGTTTTTTTCTGAATAGTTTAAACTCTTTGATTATCCAAGTAGATTATTGGACTGAATTCTTTTTTACACTTAAGTAACAAATACATATCCTTTCCTAGTTGAAAAGAAAACTATTAGTAGCTTGCATCCAGTCACCATTGCCTGTAGTATATTGTTGCTTTTATATCAAAGCCATTTATCCCACTTTTGTATTTTTATTTTTTAGCACATTTTTTTAAAAATTTGAGCATATCTGCTGCTCTTCACATTGTTTCATGAGAATGGACCAATAGAAATGATCCAAAATTACTTAGAATAAAATCTTTTTACATTAAATTAAAATTAAGAACATTTTTGGCTTCTTTTGTAAAGTTTCCATTTTGGAGATGCATGTTTTTTTTGGACAGTGACGATATGCTAATGTTTTTGCATGTGATTCAACTGGGTTTTATGCTATTTTTATGAATGTAGTAGAATCAGTTTGCCCAGGACTTTGTTAGATCTGTTTTGCACAGTGAAACTTCATACAACTAGTTGCATGTTGTGAGTTGCTTTGACAAAATTTGTATACAACTTGACAGTTATAAAAAGCAATTAGTTCATTATTACAGCAATACTTGCTAAAATACAGCAAAATTGTATTTTCCATTCACCATTCTCTCTATAAAGTGATCTGCAAGGTGTGATTTACATATCTGCACTTATCAATAAAAGTGTTCCAAACGTACTTGAAATATATGGTTAAAAAAATTGAAAACAGGTTAACATCCTCTACAAAGAACAAGCTTTAATGTGGCATTTTTCGGCCAATTTTAAGGCACAGTTTCTGTATATTTACTGAGGTTAACATTTTGTGCAGAGGTGTGTGTGTTCTCTGTAGAGGAGTGTACTTATTATTATTTGTACTTATAATTATATGTACTTATGTGTACTTCCATGTAATTTAATATACAACTGTATATTAAAAGTTTAGAACGTTTTGTCTTCTTTTATAGTATAAGTTTGTTGTGATTCAGCTGGATTTATTATCATTTTTATGAAGGTGACAGAATCAAGTTGCTCAGCACTTTCTTAAAGACACCAAACAAACAACAGAAGGTTTTTAAGCTTTGAAGCTTGTTTTTTTTTATAATTTCCAACCATAACAGATAGCTGAGGTACAGAAATAAAAAAAAATATATAATATATATATCTTTATTTAGGGGTTGTTTTCTCTCACACACACATTCGTCTCTTCCTCAGGACGTATCTGTTGGCTCAGTGTTTTGGCTGTTCAGTGATTGAGGATACGTGGCACTACTTCCTTCACAGAGCTCTGCACCACCGCAGAATCTACAAATACATCCACAAAGTCCACCACGAGTTCTCGGTGAGTTTTACACCCTCACCCTCAGCCACATACATATATGTCCTCTAAATGTGAAACTGTGCACTAAAATTAGCAGGTAAATGCAGTATTTACGTTTATGTTCTCCAATCTTATTTTCACTTAGAGAATCTACAAAAGCTACAAACTTTTGTATACGATCGTATGGAATTATTCTGTGACTTTGCCACTGGATTGAATTGAAAATATTGAAAATATAAAGACGTTTTTTGTGTGTATTTAGTCTCCGTTTGGGATGCAGGCTGAATACGCTCACCCTCTCGAGACACTAATCCTGGGGGCAGGGTTCTTCATCGGCATCATGGTGTTCTGTAATCATGTGGCTCTCCTTTGGGCGTGGGTCACTGTCCGCCTGCTGGAGACCATCGACGTGCACAGGTACACACGCACACACACACACACACACACACACACACACACACACACACAATCACTATTTAGTTTATGTTTTTAATTTACAATTTATATTTATTGATTTTTCAGTTATCACTCATTAAAAAAAAGATGAAATTTTGAACTCCAGTCTAATGACTGTGAAGACACCTGAACACCAGAGGGCGCTCTTTGGACTTGTGCCGGTTTCTTTATTAGTGGCCATTATTTACATACAGACAACAGCTCAAAGATTACTGCATGTCTGTCTTTTATTTAATTTTTTTACCTCCTTTGATACAGTCCATACTTCTGTTTCACACACATGTCACACGGCAAGGCCAAGTCTCTGAAGCCCTCTCAAAGTGTGTGTAATTAAATATTTATACACTTCAAGAAAAACATGAAACACAATCTGTAGCAGGTTACAATTTCTTTTTCATAAATGAATCCTATTTAGATGGTCTATAAACATACAATGTGGGTAAATGAGCACACAGCCACAGGATACAGCCGTTTTACATTCCAAGTTGATGTTACTATCAATAAAATAGTTTTATGCTTATTTATGCATAAATGAAAGATAATCAACACATTTTTGTTCATGCCTGGATGATGCATACATATAAATATATAGATTAACTCCCATTGTATACATTGCAGTTTCTAAAAAATGTTTTTTTTTTACATTTCATAAAATTATCAGTTTTAGTAACAAAAAAACATCAAAAAAACATTTCTGTAATCTGTAATGTGTAATATTACATGATATATATAGAGTACTGCACAAATGTTTTAGGCGCATAAGCAAATTATTTAAACCGATTTATCTTAACAATAACTTTGTACTTGTTAAAAACATATGTCATTAGAATATGCACAAATAAACATAAAGACAAAAAAAGTAGTTGATACATTGTGAGCTAGTGTGAAAAACATTGATCAGTTCAATTTCATCACCAGCACATTTGATTTAAGATAAAGAAATATTGATTAACCAAACCTGGTATTGGATGACAACTACACATTGACATGCATAAAGTCACTACTAATTTATTAGTTTTTTATTTGGATTTATTTGTAATACTCATGTTGTTTTGAGCAAATAAACGCTTACAGCCCAGATTACCAGCTTTTTTTAAATCTAAATAAAAAAAAATCATCTCAGGTATCTAAAACTGTTGCCCGATATTGTCTGCTTTTTCCTGATTCTGAAAAATGAATAATGAAGAAATAAAAAAAAATGAAAAATGGATACTTTGCGATGTACTTAATTTCTCTCTCTGTCCAGTGGATATGATATCCCTCTGAACCCGCTGCACCTGATCCCGTTCTACGCCGGCGCACGCTTCCACGACTTCCACCATATGAACTTTGTGGGCAACTACGGCTCGACGTTCACCTGGTGGGACAGACTCTTTAACACCGACTCCCAGTACAACAAATACACAGAGAAACAGGCTGTGAAGAAAGACGAGTAACACATTCACGAATGTGTTACAGAGCGGACTGAACAGATGTCGGTGAATCAATACCGGCATCCTAGATTTCACCCATTGTGCCTTTAAAAGGGAAGACACACTCACATACCTAGTAGGGTGACTGCTTTGCTGTGTCTATACCTCACTCACACAATATAAGATAGGCTGTTGTGATCTGAAGGGACCGTCGGGATTGGTGTCCTTCAGTGTCATTATTGAGTAATGCAGAAATCACTGTTAAATAATGACATCATTCCTCAAAGCACTTTACATTTCCTTCGTATGAAAGGCTTTGTCTTTTTAATGTTGTTTTTGTTAAAGGTTTTTCTCTTAACTGAGTCTCTGCTGGAAATCTAACAGAGGATACGATGCTTTCGGGTAGAATGCTGCATACACTAAAACCTTTTGTGGAAATTCATAGATAAAGTTATTATAATTTTTTAAGAAAAGAAAAATGTTTACTCTTTCTGAAGTGAGACAGGATATGCGGTGTGTTATCCTATAGGCTGTATGACATTACATTTGATAAGGCAGACTGAATAAACTGGTGAGAAATATTCAATTTGTGTCCATTTGGTCTTGTTCGCATTACGTTCTGTGTGTCATTTCCAGTGAAAGTTCTCATGTACATTCAAATACCATGGTATTTATACATCAGGGTTGGGTGAAGGAGCAGAAATATAATATATAAATACTTACAGACACAATATGCTTCTCAATATTTAGGTTTTTAGAGGTTTGAGCTGTAACACAGAAATAGAACCAGCAGTGCCATATTTTAAAAAATACTATCAAAAACTATGAATAAAATGATTTTTATTTAATGTTTCACATACTGTACTGCACGAAATCCAATAAACCAAGACTAATTATGCTCTCGGTGTAGTGAAACATATATGATCAGTGTTCCTTAAGTACTGATGTTATTCACAATATGCTTAGAATTTATCACAATATTAATAAATATTGTCATATTGCTCACCCCAGGTATACACACACATGCACACGTTTATACAAATAATATATCGTCGCTGTTGGAACAAAACCTTGACCTCTCCAAAAAGGTCACTTTATAGGAGAAAGAAAAAAGATGTTTTTTACTTTTAATGGAAGTTAATAGAGAAATTATTTATTTCAAGTAATTTTGGACCATTTCTGTTGGACTATTCATGATGAAATGTTCATATAATGTAAAGCTCTGGCGATTTCAAATTATGGAAAAAAGAACAAAAATGGAGACTGAAGGTTTTGTACTGATGGTAATGATATGTATATCGGGGCGGCTCAACCATTTAAGCAGCCTAAAGGTTATATATACAACATTTTTAACATGAATATAGCAGCAAACAACTATTTTCTATGTAACGACACAGCAATGCTGTGTGTGTGCACCACTTAAGGGGGAACGGCAAAATTCAAACAAGAAGCTGGCGAAAACTAAGCTGACTTAAGCTTCATTTAGAGTTGAAATGCATGGAAAGGGATGAGGAGGTTGTTCTCGCTTAATAAGTAAGAAACCTTAACTTATTTTTGCTGTTTCACAGAACCAATAGGTCAGTATTGTTTGGTCCTGTTTGCTAACGTTTGTGATAGCAACTGATTAGCTTTATAGCAGCAATTGTACTGACAGTTTGCTAACTCACAACCCTGCTAACGTTAGTAACATTCCTTGGTGTGCTGTTCTTCGCTCTAATGTCATATCATGGTATTTGTCTGTAAAACGTTTGCGAACGGTTTTATGGCCACAAAGATTTAAAAAAGTGTTATTCGCCTCAGCAATGCGCGTCAGTAGTGTAATTTAATTCCAGATAGTACATTTGAGGACTCTGATTGGACAGTTGCCCACCTTAGACCCTCCTCTTTTTAAGCTGCTTAATGACGTTAGGCCAATTGACTGTTCGCAACATAGTAAATAAATTAGTAAATTAGTCAGAATTATTAAGGCCGGTACACACCGAATGCAACAAGAAAAAACCACACAAAAATGAGAAACATTCAGACAATGTTTTCACATCTAAACTATAAACACCGGATGTGGCGCAAATTGTATTGCCAAAGTAATTTACTGTCATCTGAATAAATGGCTCGCATTTAGTGTGTGACGGCCTTAAAGGCCTTCAGACTAAGAAATGGTGAAAGCGTGTTACTGGGGGCCATTTATTTGAAACACGCTACTGTGGTCATCTGGATCAACTGTTAGTATTTCATTCCTAAACATGAAAAAGTTTTGATTAAACTGTGTGGAAAACCACTCACAGCTAAACATGGCTGGAACAGGCAGCTCTAAGGTAAACTGAACCTATTCTAGTTTACTGTATTTGAATCTGATGATTACAGAACAGTGTTAAGATCAGTTAGCTACGTTAGCTTTTCTTAGCCTGGCTGCTGACAGCTTAAATTACCCCAACATAACACAACTGATTTTAAAGAACAACGACAAGATCATTAGCGAGCTAACTACACTAGCCTTTAATAACTTAGGATTTAATAAATTTGAAACGTGCAAAGATACTAATGTATTTATACCTCCTTTACACTGCCATCCTTTACACTGATATCACTGAAGTTTGATAAAAGAGCTTGTCTATAAAATGCCTGTCAGGCTGCGCTGAAGGGCTCTGGTGTTAGCTTTAGCATTATCCAGGGATGGATCATGGTCAAATGAGCACCCTGGGCAGCACAGTCTTTGGAAGCCCCCCTCACACCCCCAGTCTAACTACACCAGAAATAACGGAAAAAATTGAGCGTATCATTCCTTCCCAGTTATATTTCTGGACATTTGTGGCTTTTAATTATTTTAAATATGGTGGGTATGGGCTGAGGGGCCTTTATTTTAGTACTTAGGCTATGGGTTCATCTAATGTTTGCACCTGCAGTGGACTGTCCCCAGTCTTTCAACCATCTCAGGCTTTGTATTGTAAGGCCCCCTGAGGCCCCTGGCAGTCAGAGGCCCCTGGGCACTGGCCCCAGCGGCCTGGTCAGTAAAACATCCCTGGCATTAGCTCACGTTAAGAAGCAGTCTTCATCACTCAAAGCCCCTCATCCAGCACACTAACGTCCAGATAAAAGATTTTCCTGGTTTCATTACTGTTAACATGGTTTACACATTTTGTTTTGCTTTAAACTGGCTTATATTCATATTTTCTCAATTCTCAGATGTACGTCAGCAGAGAAAATGTTACAAACTCAGCTTATTTTTGAATAATAGTAAAATGTTTTAAAATGCAAATTACTCCTGTTTGAGCAACTGGACTTTAGTCTGTTAGCACAGCTGCTACAGATTCCATTCTATAGTGCTTAATTCACCACCTGCTGCCTCCGGTGTATGTTTAGCATTAAATAAACATACACTCAGCAAACCAGGCTGAGTTTCTATTAACCCTGTTCAAGAGAACAAAACCCTACGCCACATTCGTTAAAACATTTCAGGGAAATATGGAGTGAGTCCACAGACTAATCTATGGAAGCCCATTTTCACCACTAAAAAAAGGCCTTAATATGTCATACGGACTTGCTGTCTCATAATAATCAGAAAGTTTCTCATACTCATGACTTAATAGCTCATAATAATGACTTACTATCTCATAATAATGAGACAATTATCTCATAATTATGACGTCATTATTATGAGATACTAAATAATAGTTATGAGACACCAAGTCAATTATTAGATGCCAAGTCATTATGAGATACTAAGTCATAATTGACATACTACGTCACTATTATGAGATGCTAAGTCTTTATTTTGAGATACTAAGTCATAGTTCTTAATTATAAGTCATAATTAGCATACTAAGTCTTACGAGATAATCATAATTATTTGATTATAAATTATAATTATGAGAGAGGATCTCATTATTATGATGAAATAATTATAATTATGACATTTTAGCTCATTATTATTAGACAGGAAGTCATAATTAGCAGATATAAGCTCATTTTATAAGACAGCAAGTCATATTTATGAGACACTGAGTCATAATTATAGGAAACTTTCTCATTATGACTTACTAAATGGTTTTATGTTTTTAAGAGGTGGAAACAGGCTTCTATACAAATCAGCTTCTCGTAGCTGTTTTGATTAATTTTATGGCTGTATTTTATTTGACATAAGCATGGAGACAGAACACACTGTCAAACGTAACAGGACAGGATATTATGTCTGTTTACTGCCTAATATTGGTGTTGTGTTTTTGCCTCTGATAAGATAAAGGTACAGTTTAATTTCCGCTTTAGTAAACCTGCTACCTGCTGCCTTCGGTCATGTTTTTGTAGATACAGCTGAACGCAAAAATACCTGATCAGTCACATCACTTTATACTCTCTGCATTTAGATTATTTATTCAGAAAAAAGCATTTTCATCCCTTTTATTAGATATTTACCATTCGTTATTCAATATTCAATATGTCAAAGTATGCATAAAATATGTGGATTAAAACCTACACACTTTAAAAGATGCCTCTTCAAGGGTTCTTTAGTAAAGACAATGGTTCTATATAGAACCATGAACACTCAGAACAATTTGTATGCTTAATGGTTCTTTTCATGGTGAGGTGGTTCTTCAGATTGATGGAAAAATTTAAGCATGAAATTGTTCTGTGCTGAACCATTCCCTTTACTAAAGAACCCTTGAAAAACTAAACTTGCAAAAAAAGATGGGGCTTCAAGCGTTCTTTAGTAAAGAAAATGGTTCTGTATAGAACCATGAACACTCAAAGAACACTTTGCATGATTAAAGATCTATAAAGAACCTTTTTGAAAATGACTCTATATAGCACCCAAAAGTGGTTCTTCTTATTATTACGGTGTCAAGTTTGTAACAAGAGAAGAACCTTTTTGGGTGCTATATAGAACCCTTTTCAAAAATGTTCTATATAGAACCATATAAAACAGAATCATGCACATTTTCCATCCATCCAAAGAACACTTTCATGACGCAAAGACCCTTTAATCATGCAAAGGGTTCTTTACTTTTCTTTACTAAAGAACCCTCAAAGCACTTTTTTCTTAAATAGTGTATTTTTTACAAGAGTAGAACCAGTTCATGCTTAATGGTTCTTTGCATGGTGAAATGGTTCTTTGGATTGATGGAGAATGTGTTGTAGTCTATATGATTCTATATAGAACCTTTTTGAAAATGGTTCTCTATAGCACCAAAAGGGTTCTCCTATTGTTACAATACTAAGTTTGTAAGAAAGAATCTTAGAAAGAAGTAGAAATAATCTTTTTGGTAAGAACCATTTTCAAATAGATTCTATATAGAACATTCTCAATCAATCAAGAACCTTTTCACCATGCAAATAACCATTTAAGCATGAACTGGTTCTACACTCTTTAAAAATGGTTCTTTAAGGGTTCTCCCATCTCTCTATCCACACCTCTGCGGAAAATAACAGGTAATATTTTTCCCCACCCGTATTCAAAAAAGCCCCGCCCTCCTGCGCTGGGATTGGTTAGCAGTTCATTCTCACAGTCGGTCTGCAGATTCTAGCGCAGGAGGCGGGGCTTGACTGAATACGGGTGGAGAGAAAACAACAGGTATCCCCCGCTGTCGTGATGGGAAGTTCGATTCACTTCACGGAACCGATTCTGCCCGATTCAATAAATGGAACTTCGTAATGAACGATTCATTTTCTCACCAACACGGACAAGTTAAAGAGCCCGTTTCATGGAAAACTATTTTTCCTCGCTTTTTTTTAAATAAAAGGGTTTGACGTAATACGTGAACACTGTTAAAGTATTTAAACATACACTTCACTCTACAGTCCATACGGTCTATATATGTAAACTAATCTGCAAAAACAGTGATGTCCCGAGAATTGATATATCTGCTCTGCACATTCACACTTAAGTTATAAGGAGTGTTTCAGCCTTAACTGAGTTTTGAATGAGGCAAGATACAGGGCAGTCCATCAGATCAGAGCTCATTTACATATATAACAAAAAATGCCTAGAAATAAGCTAAAGTGTCCATATAATGGAAAAACTTTTCCTTGCCTTTTTAACAAAAACGACTAATATAGCATGTAAACATTGTTAAAGTTTCATAATATACTGTTCACTCCCCAGTCTACCGTCTATACAGTCCAGAGTAAACTGCAACAACAGCCCATTTGGAATTGTTTCTCTTATATCATTAAAAACCAAAACTTTGCAATTACATACACCCACCCATTCAGTCTATAGCAGTTTAGCTCCGCCCACTCGCGCTGAAGTTATAAGGAGTGTTTCAGCACAGACTGTTTTTGAATGAGGCCCAAAACAAGGCAGCCAATCAGAACACAGAGCTCATTTACACAGTAACAAAAACAACCTCTTTAAGGGATAAAGAGAGGTTGGAAAATGGCCACGTAGAAATGAATTATATGAACTTACACAAACCTCATACGGTGTATAGAAACATTGAAAAACATAGGATATGGGCCCTTTAAATAGTTTTACAACAATTTTGAAATGTCAGACATGTCAGCTGGATTTAAAACGAGTTCACTTGCCAAGATAGCATTTTATCTGCAGTTTCTTACTCCGACATCCATTAATCTTAAAAATATGTGTATCTGGGAGCCGATTCCTGTCTTTTTCCGCGGTCCACTGAATCACTAAATCGGCCCCTGATTCGAAATGTACAGCTTCATTGACGCAAACACTGATAAGTGGATTCGATTCAGTGAAGCGAGTGACAAGAAAGAATCGATTCAAAAGAACGATTCCTCTGCAATTTGCATACGGGGACAGGGCTGAGAGGAAGGAGGGAGAGGGGGAGAGAGAGAGAAAAGAGAAAGCAAGACTGTGAAACGGTACCATAGTCACGGAGCCTTTAGCGACCGAGGAGGAGAGATAAAGCACAGACAGAAACACGGGCGAACTGCGGTCAGTAATGTCGGCGGTGGCGGTGGTATTGAGCTGCGCGACGGCGCTGCTGCTGCTGGCGGCTCCGGGTGGACACGCAGCGTCTTCGGCGGAGCGAGGCGGCGGCGGCGGCATCTCTTTCGAGTATCACCGCTATGAGGAGATGCGCAAAGCGCTGGTGGCCGTATGGCTGCAGTGCCCCTCCATCAGCCGCATCTACACGGTGGGGGAGAGCTACGAGGGCCGAGAGCTTTTGGTGCTGGAGCTGAGCGACAACCCGGGGATCCACGAGCCCGGTAAGAGCCCCCTCAGCGGCCGGTCTGCCGAGAACCGTTAAAGTAACGTTCGAATATTTTAAAAAAATACAGCCGTTACGGAGCGACATGCTAGTCCGTTATTCTTAAATAACTAGGTTTGTGTCGCTACATATGGTTCAGATGTGTCAGATATAAACTGTTATACATTCTAGAGGTGTTATTTTAGCCGAAAACACGAATTAAAACGAATTTTAACCGGTCTGGTTCGGTTTTACCTTTAAACTATGAGGGTCTGTCCGGTTCGGTTGTCATCACAGTGACGTGCACACACATACTGAACGTACGGAGCGAGGCTGGAGTTGGTTTCCTATTTACCAGCATCTTGTTCCAATTTTCCCGTTCCACCTTAAAAGGTGCAGCAGTTATTACTATTCATGTTTTGCCTCAGGCGCTAGAATGTAACTGCTGCACCATTTAAGGTGGAACGGGAAAGCTCAAACACGAAGCTGGCGAATAAGAAAGCATCGTACGTACGGACTGTAAATAAATATTAAATTAAAATGAAATGAAAATAATAAATGTTAAGTGACAACACTAAACTACATGGTGTGGAAGTGAGTAATGTGTGACGCGCAGGTGTCCCGTTGTGGAGATTGATGCAAACAGTGAAACGGGCGACGTTGTGGGGACATTTGGCATTTTGGAGACCGATGTTTTTTATCTTTTTACCACAAATTCAACCTTTGCAAACATAAAACAGACAAAACTGTGTATTTTAGGTTGAAATTCTAGGTACAACAGAATTTCCAATGCAAGGCAAAGAAATGCCCCACAAAGACAGAAATACCCGCTGCAGTGTGTGTGTGAGCGTTAACGAGATATGCCGTTTGGTCGAGGGCGCCATTTTGCGAGGTGTGAGGAGAATGACTGTTTAAACCAAGGCTCATGTTAAATACAAATTTAAAGACATTTTAACTCAGAAAATGTCTTTTAAGGGGATAAGTAATCTTAATAGCAGAACATTAAGAAGACTATCAGGATGCTGAAGCCGTTATTAGTGAAAAATGAGTCAAATACAAGCCAAATGCTGAAGAAATACATATAACAGTGTCTCATTTAACTGACTAACGTTACAGAAGCTATTTCAGCAAACTGACTGGATGTGTTGCTTTACCTACACTGGGGTTGGGTTGGATTATCGTTGATGGGGATGATATCTATTGCAATATTTATGAAGTATGAGACACATACTGTGTCCGTGTTATGACTGACATGCACCGATTAGCCGTAGCATTAAAAACACCTGCTTGTTTCTACGCTCATTGTCCATTTTATCAGCTCCACTTACTATATAGGTGCACTTTGTAGTTCTACAGTTACAGACTGTAGTCCATCTGTTTCTCTGCATACTTTGTTAGCCCCCTTTCACCCTGTTTTTCAATGGTCAGGACCCCCATGGACCCTCACAGAGCAGGTACTATTTGGGAGGTGGATCATTCTCAGCACTGCAGTAACACTGATGTGGTGGTGGTGTGTTAGTGTGTGTTATGCTGGTCTGAGTGGAACAGACAGCAGTTCTGCTGGAGTTGTTAAACCCCTCAGTGTCACTGCTGGACTGAGAACCAAAAATATCCAGCCAACAGCGTCCTGTGGGCAGCGTCCTGTGACCACTGATGAAGGACTAGAGGATGACCAACACAAACTGTGCAGCAGGAGATGAGCTACTGTCTCTGACTTTACATCTACAAGGTGGACTGACAAGATACGAGTGTCTAATAGAGTGGACAGTGAGTGGACACAGTGTTTAAAAACTCCAGCAGCACTGCTGTGTCTGATCCACTCGTACCAGCACAACACACACTAACACACCACCACCACATCAATGTCACTGCAGTGCTGAGAATGATCCACCACCCAAATAGTAGCTGCTCTCTGGTGGTCCTGTGGGGGTCATGACCATTGAAGAACAGGGTAAAAGGGGGCCAACAAAGTACGCAGAGAAACAGATGGACTACAGTCTGTAATTGTAAAACTACAAAATGGTCCTATATGGTAAACGGAGCTGATAAAATGGACAATGTGTAGACACAAGGAGGCGATTGAGACGTACATCTTTCTTTTTCTGTATGGTTTGATGTAGTGTAACATTAAAGACTATTAAGTGGAATTCCACCTAATTTTCAGAATTATCACATCATTTAGGCCTAATAGTTGAGATGTAAACATAACTACTGAGAATGGTTCGGTGTGAAATGATTCATTGTAGAGAAACTGACTTATACTTCTTTACAGTGATAGGAACCAGGGGTCCTGATGTCTTCAGCACAAATACAGCCATTTTATTTACTATCCAAAACCACCAGTGCACCTACAACACTGCAAAGAGTTTTATAGGCAATGCTGATAATGGTAAAATAGAGGGAATCTAAAAAATCATTTTTAGGCACTGTTTTGCCTTACAACACCCTCTGTGTATCTCTCCACCATGAATGGATTTTACAGAATATGTCTTAAGCCAAAATCAGATCTCAAATCTAGCGTAAAACAATGTTTCGGGCATCAGGCAGCATAATCATAACTATTTCATGTAGTAACTTTCTGTGATGTAGCTTTTAAAGGCATTAAACTCTTCAGACTCCTAGTTCTTATCACTACTGTTGCACACAGTCGGTTCCTCTAGAATGGTATATTTCACATCTAACCACCCTAAATGACTTTGTTCACATCTTAACCTAAGGACCAGTTAACTCAGATATCTTGAAAAATCAATAGAGATGCACAAACTGACTGTATTTGCCTTGTATTTCATGGTTTATGTAGTGCACCATTAAAGGCAGTTAAAGGGAATGACTGTACTGTGATTTCCTTTTGGATTATGGTGTATAATTACCACTGCAGGATACTTTAATTTTAGAGTAAATCGTTTACGTCTGTTTGTGGGTCGTTGGTATTTCGATAACAAATCATCTACACATAAAGTTATTTACAGCCCGTTTTGTATCTGAAAGACTTTGACAGCAGTTCTTAGGTGTGTATCTGTTTACTCCACCCCCGTGTTTCTGTGTTAACCCTTTAGTGGGGTTTCAGTCTGACCTGAGGAAATCTGTGTACAGAGCGCCTCTGTAGCTAATCGTGTTGTGAGGGAGAGACTTTAAATCTTAAAGCGTGCCTGTTCCCCAAATAGTGCGATCATTAATTCTCCTTGCTCCTGTGTGTGTGTGTGTGTGTGTGTGTGTGTGTGTGTGTGTGTGTGTGTGTGCGTGTGTGCGCGCGCTGTACGTAAGATATGAGTCACTCACTTGAGTCTTTTATTGCTGCCAGATGAGTTTCCACTACCGCCCCCGCCCCGTTACCATGGGCAACCAGCGTCTCCCCACGAATCCCACTCGAACCTACCTCTCTCTCTCCCTCTCTCTCTCTTTCTCTCTCTCTCTCTCTCTCTCTCTCTCTCTCTTTTTCCTTCTATCCTCTCCATCTCTCTCCTTTTTTCTCTCTGTCCCTTTTATCTCTTTCTATCTCCATCTTTCTCTTTCACTCTGTCTCTCTCTTGCGCTCTCGTTCTGTCTTCTCTCTCTCTCTCCATCTATATCTCTCTCTTGTTTCTTCGGTTTCTCCTTTTTTAACTCTCTCCCTGTCTCTCAATCTCCCCATCTTTCTCTCTCTCTCTCTCTCTCTCTCCCTCTCTCTATTTCCTTCTTTCACTTGCTCCATCTGTCTGTCTCTCATTTTCTCATCCCTCTGTCCATTTTTATCTTTTCTCTATCTCTCCTCCATTTCTCTCTCTCTGGCCTTCTTTTCTTTTCTTTCTTGTACTTTTTATCCCTCTCTATCCATTTCTCTCTCTCTGCACCTGCCTCTCTCCTCCTTTTCCTTTTTTCCTGTCTACCTCTCTCTCCTTTTTCTCTCTTTTTGTCGCTTAATCTCTCTTTCTTGCTACATCTCTACCTATCTTTCTTTTTTCGCAATCCTTGGCCTGTTTTCTTTTCTCTCTTTCACTTTCAGTGTCTTTCTCTCTCTGTCAATCTCTCCCTTTTTCTCTGTCTCACTCCATCTCTCTCAGTCTGTCGCTCTCTCTCTGTCTTACGTTAAGGCGAGGCAGAAATAGCCGTTGCCGTGGCGATAGATCGGCTTAGTGCGATGAGCTGCGTGCTGCTGCTCGGCCCAGACAGAGAGAGAGATAGAGAGAGAGAGAGGATGAGGATGAGGAAGATTTAGCGTGTGCAGGGCGCGTTCATGAGCAGTGCCATCTGGTGCTCTACAGCGGCCTGGCTGAGAGGAAGAGTGTGTACTTACAGCCCAACGAAGCATAGCAAGCCATTAAGGGTGTGTCTCAAATCAGCTGCTAGTTCCATGTGTAGGGAATTACTGTCTAGGGAATGATTAGGCTATAAAGGGGACTGGGGGGGGTGTCTAAATCTATGTCTTGTTCTTTATGTAGTAAATTAACTGGCCAAGGCACTCAAACATTCGTCCCCTAATAACATCCTATAAAGACCTTCATATCCTAGAATGCACTGTACATCAAATCATCCATCCATCCATCCATCCATCATCTAAACCGCTTATCCTTCTGGGTCGCGGTGGGGTGCTGGAGCCTATCCCAGCTGTCATTGGGCGGAAGGCAGGATACACCCTGGACAGGTCGCCAGTCCATCGCAGGGCAGACAGACAGACATACACATTACTCTCCAGCCCTCTCCTGCTGTCTCTTACATGCTGCTGTTGTCATTGTTCCCCTAAAGCACTGCATTAGTTTAAAACTAAACGTGCAAGTTGTGCAGCTATAAACTGATTTGATAGTTAATATATTGTTTTTTATGCGTCTTATTTAATGTCTTTACAGAGTGACCATGTTTTAAGGTTCTGCTTCAGTCTGAGTTTTTCTCCCTCTCATAGGTGAATGTTACTCATATAAGTGTCAGGTTTCGGGTCGTTTACTTCATATACGCACGTATGCTGGGTTCTATGGTCCAAGCAAAAAACGCTTTTCAGTATCTTGGTGGATTAATACAGAATTCATATGATCATTAGTTTGTGTA